CCTCATAGCGATGGCCTCCAACCTTATAGCAATGGCCTCCAACCTAATAGCGATGGCCTCCAACCTAGAGGGATGGCCTCCACTTTAGCAGGGGTCAATGGCAGAGCGTCAATGCCAGACTTCTCAGTACCAAACGGACCAAACGTTTTCGATGAGCTGGGACAACAATAGGGCCACGAAAGTTGGGTCGGTATTGTCCTCCATCCTGCTTAATCTCATTCAATTTCAGACTCTGCAATTCCTTGCCTGCAAGCTGATAAGCTGACATTCCATTACAGTTTGTTGGGTCAATTGAAGCTGGGGCAGGAGGAGGGACCAGACTCTCCAAACCCAGTGGTCAAGAGTGAACCTTTTGGCTTCGAGCAGGCAGCCCTTCAACGCGAAAAGCAAAAGGTGGACAAGGACCTTTGGGTTGGAGGATTTCGTTCCCCACACCAGAGCACTTGCAACATTCTGCAAAGCATGATTTCATTGAGTGGGCAGTGCAGCAGAAGACGAGGTGGCTTTAAGAAGGCGTTAAATATGTGCAATGTGAGCAACGGCAGGTAGAGGAGGAGAAGGTGAACATGTTGGCTTCGCGCTTGACCAGCTTGCTGCTCGTCTGAGATGAGTGTTCCTTTGGTTCTTGGATTGTTGGAGGCTGTTTGGTGGAAGTGTGCCTGCAGCTGCCGCTACTTTTGAACAGGAGCACGGGACCAGAAGGGAGGCAGCAGCTGCTGCTTGCTGCGGCGAAGGAAATCCTTGAGCTCAAGGCCATTAGCGTTTTTCGGGTTTTCCACGCTTAGTTGGTCGGTTGGTCCATGGGTTTCTTTTGTTGAATGGCTCCGTGCAAACCTGGTTGACTTCCTGCAAAGGCGCATGTGGAGTGGGATCAGAAGCGCATGCAAAGCGACATGGAGGAGTGGCTGAATGTAATCACCTTTGTTCGCGAGTGGGATCTGGGGATCACCAATCCTGCTGCTTGATGCTTTTATCAAGGAGGAGCTGGAACTGAAGAACCATTTGAAGCAGGTAGAGGCATGATGATTCATCAGTACTGACAGTTCTTTTTTCTACGTCGCGTGATATCCCTCTTTTGGGTGGAGCTGTCAACACTAGCTGTCAAAATGCGTCCCTCCTTTCTGTCGACGTTATTTGAGGCCGAATTGCGCGCAAGGCAAAAAGCTCCTGTGCTCTTTCAGGCGTGGCTGGAGCAGGCAACCGAAGTGTCTAAGAGCGTATACTGCACAAAACAACGGGCCTCACTGCAGAATTCTGCATTTGTTCAAGCCTTTGCCTCCAGAGATGTGACCATGACATGGACTTTGGACTCAAAATGCTAGCATTCCAACATGTGAAACCCCGACCCCCTGCAGTTTTGCTTCCAGGACTGGCATGTAGAGCAGGGACTTGCCAAGAAGCAGGTGGCCACAAACGTCTGGAAGTATTAACATTGAGCACAAGAACACGCATTTTTCAGTACTTTCTTCTTTTCCGACCTTGTTTGCCACAGAATATGCGAAAAGCTTTATTTGAAGCTGTATTGAACACTGTATTGTCTTTGGATGGCCGAAAGAGCCCGCCTTGTTGTATATCACCCCTTGACCAGGCTAAGTAGGCCGCCAAGGTGCCCCCCAAAAGGCGCGGGACCCGTGAAGCTGTCTCCATTTGTTGCTTTCTGTCATTGCCAGAGCCCGTGATACCAGTTTGATGAATATGAAGCATATGAAGCAGCGAAGACTGCCTGCATGCGGCTTTGCAACCGGTGCTCAGGCAACAATAAGGATGGCGTTGGCGTTCGGACGTGGCCAGAAATGAGTGCGACATGAGTGGTGGGCAGTTTGTAAGCTGCTTGGAGTATCCACAAACACTTCGGCCTGATCACCTCAGTTCTGGAGAGCTGCGGACTTTATTCCTTGTGTGGCCACTTGCTTGAGCCATTTTGGATCAGGGGGCTGAACTGGCTAGCTTGGCTTGCAGAAAAAAAACACACTTGGCTAGCGTGCATCATCAATCATTGCTTGCTTCCCTTTGAGGGTTGTGGAGCCCCAAGGCCGATCCAACCCTTTTCAGTGTTCACCAAATACCTTGAACCAACATGAATCAAACTCTAGATGTTGTTGAGCTTCAAGCTTTCCCCCAAGAGATTTGTTAATTTGCAGCTTGGCTGCCGAAGTTCTGCTGCGACCTCAGCCAAGAGCGCAGCAGTGCCTCAGCGCAGCCCCGGTTTTTGCAGTTTGGTCGCCGAGGCCATGGAGCAGAGACATGTGTCACTCATGGACGACCCGAGCATGGATTTTTCGCTGCTGGGATTGTTTGCCGACTCGACGACTCAAAGGTTCTTTTGTTTAAACCTCTCTCTCTCACTCTCTCACTCTCACTCTCACTCTCACTCACTCTCTCTCTCTCTCTCTTTTTGGCGAACTCATCTCGTCATGTTTGTCCACCTTTTGCCGATGTTTTGTCCATTGGTATTTTGGTGCAGATTCGTAGATGTTGCGGTTTTCTTCGTCGCACCAAACGAAGCTTCGTTCGAGGTTCCGAAGTCTCCGCCGCCGCTTGCATCGCCTTCCTGGACCACCAGCGAAGCTGGAATTCCAGGACCGGCTGGAAGCAGCTCCGTCGGTTTGACTCAGTTGACCCCAGAGAAGACCTTTTTGGCATTTTTTGGCTGAGTGAGGCAAGCTTAGCTGCCATCATGATTAGCGCACATGTTAGACTCTTGCGTCAGCTTTGGCTCGAAGAAACAAGCACAAGTTGGAGACCACATCGACAGCAAAAACGAGGAAGATGGATAAAGAATAGACGGTAGGCCACATCAAGTTGATTTTCAGGAAAGAACGAAGAGGCCAAAGACTGCGTGTTGGAGGTAGACGGAGTTAGATAGGACTTCTGGGAGGAACTGAACAGAAAGGACAAAGGCACAACCTGCAATTCAGGAGTCTGGTGGAGCTTGGTCTCCCTACATTAGCCAGCAAACCAAGGACATTTTGTGGACGATGAGATTCGAGATGAAGAGGCGACTGATGTGACGTAGCAATGGCCCAGCTGCAAAAAGAGCTTCCCAAAGCTTTGTGGCTCTTGCACACCGATGTGATGGCTTGCGTTGCTCGGAGTTTCCATCATGGGGCATGCCCCAACAATGTAATCAATCATTATGGCAAGCGATGTATGTGTGCGTGCGCGCGCGCGCCAAACTGAGATCAGATCTAGATGGGCACTGGTGGCATTAATTTTCGCCAGTGTGGCCAGTTTGATTCTGCTGTTCAGGCAAGGGGGGCCGTTCTTTTCCCGACAAAGCATGTTGCGGTTGTGAAGTGTTACATTTGTCAACTACTGGTACTTGTTCAAGACAATGCTTCATTTGCAGGCAGCTTGCTTTCCCGGGTCTTGAACATGGGCACATCACTGCAGGCGGGTCTTTTGTGATCAAGGCATACAGTATATAAATCTTTGCCATCACAAGAATCCAGTGCTGGAGTTTCCTGACAAGAGAGCAGTGGCTGTTCTTAATGTATTCAAACCTAGTCGGTGGGATGATTTTTGCCTGTTTTGAGCCCACTGGGTTGAAGGAGTGCCAAAAGCTGGGATGAGCTACTTCTTTTCCGTTGGCGATTTTGGCGTCGCTGCATGTGAGCGAGGCTACAAGGCACGCATCTCCCGGATGGGGAGAATTCCATCGGGTGGAGTTGCCCAGGGTCTTATTTGATCTTTTTTGATTACCAGCTGCTGCCGCGGCTGGCCAGTTACATGATTTTAAGACTTTTAGCCGGACCCTGGGGTGTCGAATCTTTTTCCTCAACAGCGAAGCATAAGGGGCCTTCAGCCATAGTATAGACTTCGGAGCAGATCGGAAAGCTCCGAAGCAGGTTCCGCAGGAGCAGGTTCTTTTTTTTTCCTAAGCAACACCAAGAAATCTGAAACTCTAGAGCCTCCTGCCCTTAATCTCTCTGGCACAAGGTTTGCGCCAACTGGATTGCAAAAAGAGCTGTGCCGTGGTTCCCTGAGCTCAACACTGGAAGGAGGAGCAGGTTCCAGAGCAGATACAGTTCCGGAGCAGGTTCTGGAGCAGGTTCCGGAGGAGGTTCCGGTCAAGGTCCCGGAGCAGGTTCCGGAGCAGGTTGCGGAGCAGGTTTTGGAGGAGGTTCCAGAGCTAGTTCCAGAGCAGGTTCCGAAGGTGGTTCCGGAGCGGAGCAGGTTTTGGAGCAGCTGGGTTCTGGAGCAAGTTCCGGGGAAAGTTCCAGAGCAGGCTCCGGAGCAGGTTCCGGAGCAAGTTACGCAGCAGGCTTGTTCCGGAGGAGGTTCTGGAGGAGGTTCCGGAGCAAGTTCCCGAGGTTCCGGAGGTTCCGGAGACGGGCCAGCTTGCCACAAGTTCCGGAGCGCCTTGCAATATGACGGCGTATAGTGCTCACATGTCACGATGCAGTATTTTGTCGTGCTTGCTGACATGTTGACGTGCCGTCAGACTACCGTGCCGCTTTTGCTAACCTGCTATCATGCTATAACCTCTGACATGCTGAGGTGTTCACTCCGACAAGCTGACAGCGTGGTGCCATGTTGGTGTGTTGTGCACGTAGAGTGCTGTCACACAGACGTGTTTTGACACGTTGTCGTGCGCGCTTGTGGTTGTTGCGCTGATGTGCCGGCGTGGTGTTTCACTGGCACGTTGTCAGGCTGTCGTGCTGACATGTTGCATCATGCTGCCATACTGGCACGGGTCACGCTAACATGCTAACACGCTGTTGCGTTGAGATGCGAAAATTGGTTCATGCCCCCAGCGGTTGGGTTTTCTCTTGGGATTATTTTGAGTTCACAGGCTTGACTGCCCACAGGAAACAAATCACCGCGTGACCGCGGGGATGGGGTAGGTATGAGGCAAGCACCCTCTTCCGTAACAACACGTTAGCCGGTGAATACGACGGTCGGGCCAGTGGGCCCCCAATATGTGAGCTAGGCAGCTAGTCGATGCTAGTCGTTGGCGTTGACCTTTCGCAAGTGGTGAGGCCACAGCCGCTCCGCTCACCGGCTTGGGGAATGTCACTGGGGGGGATTCTAGACAGACGTTGTGGGACTGTAGATGTGGAAGATCACTGGCCCAGTGTTTCCGGGTTGCTGGGCCGCAACAGGCTGGTGACCTTGAGAACTCCGGTGGCATTGGCCATCGAAATTGTGTGGCGTCAAATCAGCATTTTGGCGACAAAAACGACCCTCACCACTCCAGTTGAACCCAAAGGCCAGCTGCGGATGACGTGGAAGGACATACAGTAAAGATCTCAGTGGGGACAATGATGCACCAGTGACATCTTACGTCTTACAGCCGATTGCACAGCTCATGGATCTCTAGCTGCATCTCAGGAAACTTGTGGCAGATGCCATGGACAAGCTGGCTGCTTTACTGAAGCCAAAATTCATCCTCTCTTTAGGGGCTTGGGCCTCAAAAAGTCGCGCCACTGGAGAGAGGACAACTGTCTCTGAAAACATTGATTCAGTTGTTTTTCCTTCTCGCAAGTCATCCCAAAGCTTTGGACGCTCAATATGGTGAAGTTGCGTGGTTGCTCAGCAAAGGATAACTTCTACATACGCGGTGTGGCTTGGCCTCAATCTTGGTAGTAGGGCTTGCTGTAGAACAGCAACGATCTCCTTACCACACCTTCGAACCCAAGGTGAAGGACTTGGACGATTCCCAGCTCCAAGAATCCTTTGTTGCTCGGAAGCACACAGATGATGCTAGATCTTCACTTTTGTGTCCTTTGGTTCCTTGAGCCATGACCGCTTTTGGCTCCAGGTTGATGTTTATAGTCGCGGCCACTTGGAGGAGCTGCCATGGCAGGCGGGGGTAGCACATCAGCCGTAATTACATCCGCCGCTAATTTGCTTCCACACATGTTACGACTTGTGGGATAGCACAGAAAGGCTTCTGAGGCAAGAGCGGATGTCACAGCATGGGCAGAACATGCCCCATTACACCTGTTGAACAGCAGCACATATGGCATGGAGCAAATCCAATTCCAGAGAACGGAACGGACAGAATATTCCAGGATTTGCATCCTCATTCCATCCTTTTGCGGGCAGCCTTCCGTGTGAAGGTTTCTTTGGGTGATCACGACCATCGCGGCAACGTTTCTGCCTTGCTGCTCTGGCAACACAAGCAATGGAAGCTGCCTGCGCCGTGTCTTTGGCAGCCGTGGTTTGAAAGGGGCCGGGCCTGGGACGACCTGCATAAACCTTTCTGAATGTCTTGAGACTCTCCACATTTCGTTGTGCACAAGGTATTATAGCTTCCGTTTCCCAGTGGGGAAGAAGCATATTGAATTTGTGATCGTAGACTCCGTTGGACTTGAAGGAGGAGTGCTTGACCAGGCCCCAAAGGGGCGGCGGTTCGAGCAGGCAGGGGCATCCTCCTTCTCACGGTTCTTAGAAAGACTGCGTTCTCTTCATGTTTTCACTGAATGACGCTGATGCTTGGCTTTTAGCCATTGAGACCTAATTCACCTCTTCCGTGCAGCCTCTAACTCTAGCACTCACACACACAATCACACACACACACATTTGCATATATGATATTTGCTTTTAAGCATCTTGTCTAAAGCCGTACGTACCATCCATTCCCAGCCGTAGGAGAACCTCCCATAGCCAAGCCGTAGGCCATACGAGGCGACCCAACAGGACGAGTCTCCAACGAGTCTCCCTGAAAGGATCTGACGGATGAGTTCGCTGGCCCAGCAGCTGGCCAGCGGCAATGGCAATGGCTTTCGGAACGGACGGAGCCTTGGCCTGCTTGGAGAGTGAAAGAACAAACGGAACGAGCAGACAGGGGTCAAGGCGGTCAAGGCCCTTCCCAGGGCTTGGAAGGCCGATGTTGACATCTTTTTCGCGTGTATCAAGCTGGATGCAAAGGTTTGTCACAGGGTCTTTTTGTCCTAACACATAGTACTTCCTGCTTGCAAACCTTCTTCTTGAGATCAGCCGATGTTCCGCAAGGCAGCATATGGCGAGTCGTCCGATACCCTGCTACAGGCAGGATGTGGCTCGATCGGATGTGTGAGAGATTGCTCACGGCAGGGGTTCTAGCGTTGAATGTGGACTTTCTTGAATGTGGACTTTCTTGATTTCACAAGGGTGTCTGTTCAGTGTCTCCAGGGTCAAGCTGACTTAGACTGTTTTGCACTGGCACTGGATACTGGGGGTTTGCGGCAGTTGGGGTTTTGGCATGGCAACAGCGCTTGGGGACGTATGCCCACAACCACTGCGTTTTTGCCATCAGGTGGTGGCTGGGCATCGGCCCATCCGCAGCTTGGCCTACCGTCATGGTAGCCCACCTTCACCACCCGAGTTGGTCGTGGCCAAACGGCTTCTTGAGTCCTTGGCTTCAGGTGAGAAGCCCGTGTCTTGGAGAGGAAGCAGTGCGCAGTGCGGAAGCATCATTTCATATGCTTTTGCAATTTTCCAAAGGACGCTTCCCCTTTTCATTATATAAGAGGGAATGCCCAAACGCAAGGTCGTAACGCATAGGGCAAAAACCAGGGTCCCTTTCTTTGGCAGCCGTGAGGTTGCCTACCTCCATGGTCACGACCATGTGATGCAGCACTTTCGGGAAGTTGACAAGCCCTTGTACCATTTTGGAAATGGTGCTGGTGGGATGGGCATCCATCCGTTGCAGGAATGTGCCAACTGCACGGAGTTCAAGTGGGGCGCTTCGGCCTTTGGTTTCGCGGTACATGAAGTTGGAGATTCATCGATGGTCGTCCATTTCATGGATGCGAAAACTCTGCAGGTGTCTCATTCTGTGGAAATACCCTTCGGTAGGTAACAATACGAAGAAGCAAGGGTGCTCAGCAAACATATTTGCTGCTTGTCGACCCTGCTCATCTCATCCTGTAGCTTAGGTGGAGGGCAAGTTGCTCAGTGCTGATTCTCCACCCAGCACTGTGCAGCAGTAGGTAGGGTAGGACCACTGCAATGTTTCAGTGGTTTGACCACATTGACCACGCTTTAGTAGCGGCGAGCTAAAATGGAGACGCCCAGCTCACAGCCTGGATGCCAAGTCCAACGAAGGACATTTCATACAACTATTCAACAGCTCCCCTATTTTATTGCTCTGGTGGCTTCGTGTGATTTCTTGACTTTTGTTTGAGGAGCTGCGACTGGTCGACGATGTCGTCCTGGTTTACGGCGGGTGGGCGCCGAGCGCCAGCTCCACAGCGGCTGCGCCGCTGGAGACTTTTAAGCGGCAGCAGGTGGGGTTGGGAAGGTGGAAGGGAAGGACATTGTGCAAAAAGAGCCCTTGAGATGAAGAGATTATGAATATATAGATACCTCCACTTTGAGCCAGATACCCCCACTTTGTTTTTAGACTAAGTTTTGGTCAGTGAGTCTGCAGTTTTGCAAGCGAGGTTGAGTCCCTGCACGTGAAGGGCATGGACCATATCTCCAAGCGAATTCAGGATGCCACAGGGAATTTGCTCCTTCAACGCATTAGATGCGGATTGAACTTCTGAATCAACTCGTTTTGCAAGGTTAGTATGCTTGGAATCGGCGCTACCATCAGAGCCTTGCTGAAACTCTTTAAGTTCCTGCACGTTGGTACTGAACAGATAGTAACTTTATTCACACATGCAACCTCGAGGGAGAGAGAAAGAGAGCGAGAGAGAGAGAGAGAGAGAGAGCGAGAGAGAGAGAGAGAGAGGGAGAGGGAGAGGGAGAGGGTTTCTTGAAGACCCAACAAGTAGACTATTGCTGTCAGTCCAGACCACGTTAGTGTCCAGACCAAGTGGACAGGAACCTTGCCCAAGCATTGGCTATATTGCCGCAGAGTGGTTCTCGGCGCGAGTCTCCAAGCAGGGAGTTGAGGAGGTCTACCGGGGGAACTTGGACAGGCTTGACAGCAGAGCGCTGGTAAAATCAATCCTTGTTTCAACCAAAAATCTGACTTCCACACTGGACACATTTCTCTTTCCATTTTCATTCCATTTTCTGAACAGGCCCACACCAGGAAGTTTGGCAGAACTGATTGTTTTGCTCGCGCTGTTGGATTTTCTGACTGCAACACCGAGCACCGGATTTGGCAGCACAGCCAGCCGCATTGTCACGCTAAAGGCCGGATGCAGACATTGTGCTGCTCTGCTCCAGTGCTGAACCAGTTTGTTTCTGCTCCAAATAGTTTGCCTGCTGAGTCACTGAGTCAAAAAGAATAACCATTCGGTTCGCATGAGGTGCGTGAGGGTGGGGCCCAGTGCGTGGCTCACATGGAGCTGCAAGCCATTTTTGGTGCTCCTGACATCGATGCCGTTCGGCACACAGCGGTGATCCAGCTGTTTCAAGGTTGGGACACCGCGCACTGCACAGCTGTTTGTAGAGCTCCTGACGAAAGCACCGCACAAGTCCAGCAAGCCAATTTGTCAAAGTTGGTGTGGGATGAATGACTGATTTTTTGGTGGGGTAGGCCGCTAGTAGCTAGGTAGGTAGTAGCTAGAGGTAGCTAGTAGTAGCTAGGTAGCTACTACCTAGGACGCAGGATAGCTCACGCCGCACTACTGATTTGGTTCCTAGATTTTTAGGGAAACTTAACTTCCATGAATAAGTAAGATGCATGACTTGTGTCAGGCAAAGACACTCAAGATGCAAAGACATCGCTGCTTGAGACGCTTCGTAGCACGTGCCCACAGGCAGGGGCCATGGACGCTAGCTCTGTGTGACAAGGAGTGGCTTTAATCATGAGGATCATCCCATGACTTTTATGTAGAAGTGAGTTTATTTGGCTTTTGGCAGTTATAGGTAATTTGATACGTTGTCTGGTGCCAGTGCCGCGTGGGAACTGTCGAGTTCGAGAAGAAGCTGAATGAGGCTGTGCAGCTAATGAGTGCTGCCGCGACCTGCCTCAACAGCCAGGCACCGTGCTGCAACGGATTTCTGGAGTTTGGGCTAGTCGGCTAGGGCGAGCTGATCTGCGCTTGCCTTCCTATGATCCCAGATGCAGAACCTTCCAAAGACATTTCTTTCCTTACAATACACAGTAACAAAAAGCATAAAAAAACATCAGAAACCATCAAAAAGCAATACAGGTCAAACAGCTTGAAAGAAGATGAAGTCTTCAATTGATTTCTGAACGAGAAGCTGCGAGAAGCTTTCAAAGCGATTTCGACTCCTTGGACTCCTTCGGTCCTTCGACCTTCGGAGACCCCGATCTCCAGGCTTCAAAGGAGGACCTCGCCGAGGCGCTGTGGGAGGTGGACATCAGCTGGGATGATTGGCTCAGAATCTTTGCCGCTCCTTGACATCCAAAAACGTACTCCCAGTGCACCATAGTGCTATGGTGCACTGGGTTTGTACTCCCTGAAATCCGTTGTGGAAGGGGACTGTAGACGACTCCATATGACTCCATATGACTCCTTGAGTTGGACACTTGCCTGGGACAAGAGCCGTGCAAATCAGAGAGCCGCAAATGCTTGGAATCGATCCCACGTGACTCTTCGGGTCTTTGGATGTTGTGGTCCTGGTCCTTTGGTTGTGTAGTATGGAGGGAAGTGCAATCATATGCTATCAACATACTGAGGGCTGCGCGTGCTTTTCCTGCTTGGGTGTATATACATTTGGAGACTTAAGGATCCAGACGATGCTGGCTTTGCTGCGGTGGATCTACTCGGCCTGGAGTATCCTTGCTTGCATGTCAGTTCACAAGAGTGCTACTTTCAGCCAACGTCCTGCTAGTAAGAACGCTTCTCGAAATCTCTAGGTCGAAAAATCAGACTACAGTGACTATAGTACAACTATCTACAGTACCTCCTATTTCCAAGTCGCCCATGATCATCAATCGAGGTTGTACAGGAGCGCTGTGCAGGGCTTGCTGGAATGCTTGAATGAAGTGGCAGGCCACAGAAGTGACAGAAGTCCTGTTGTGGGGTTCGGTTGGTTAGCGACCGCTGAGACCGCTTCTCACCGTGCGCGAGGCTTCTACGCGGGAGAGACCATGGGACTAGACCCTGTCAAAGCCTCGCTGACTGTGCTACAAACCTGTGCAGCGCCTGCCAGCTGGGCTCAAGATCCCCTGCAACAGCTCGAAGCTCAAAATAGAAGACAAAGACGGAGAAGGAGAAGGAAAGGAGAACAAAGAGAAGGAGAAGGGGAAGGAGACTTGCTGCACCTTTCTTGTAGCAGTCAGGGTGTTTTAGTTTGGATTGTTGATTGAATGATTTTTGAGACTGCAAAGCGGACTAGAGATGAATGAATGGCTGTGGCTACTCTCTGAGGCCAGAGATCTTAGACACGTCCACCGCCATGAGTCATTCTGGATGCGTGGTTGCTTTGCGCTGCCATTTGCTTCAGCACGCCATAGAGACCCAGCAGAAATTTGTTGAGCACGAACCAGCCGCAAATCGCCTAAACACGACAAACTGACCTTGTTTCCTATCCTTGCTTCTGCAGTTGCACAAGCCAAGATCAGAGCAAGTTTCGCTAAGGATTCTCGTTTCAATCGTCTTTATGGAGGTCCTTTCAAGATACCGACCGGCTTGGAGCCCAGCATGAGGGGGTAGGAAGACAGCCACAGCCTGGCAGCCTCACCGCCCTTATTGGCAACCTATTGGTTGCTTTATATTTTTTGCCCTTAAAGGGAACCCACATACAATCAACCACCAGCGTTCACGGGTTGCCCGAGGCCCTGATCCTGATCCACGACTTGAGAAGCGCTGGCAGGAACTCTTCGAGAGTGTGGATGTGAATCGAAATGGCGAAGTATCGATCCTCAGAAAAGACGAAGATCAGACGTTGATCAGGTTTCTTTTTTCGGAAAAAAAACTGGAATAGAGGACCCACCTTCTATTTATGTGTGGGTGGGTACATAGAGAGTTGATCAGAGACCTTGGAGTCGAAAGGTTGATTTTCTGATTCTTGAGGAAGGACTGATGGAGATGAATGGGAGGCCATACATGACTGGAATTTTGGGAGGAGTTGGGTACTCTTACAGGGAACAAATGAGTAAATGAAATGTGCATATTATTTGCAAAGAAAACTGTAGCAGGGCATGGGAAAGGGAAGCATCAGAAAGGATAGGATGGACAGATTTTACAGAGGAAGCTTATTCTGGGACTGGCACTCCTGACTCAGAGATTTACAGTCTTGCAGCAGGAGACTTTAGAGAATTATTTCAGCACCGCTGCTTCCTGAGGATGGATGAATGGAAGGAGGCACTCGACAACGAAGACAACGAAGAACTTCGAGATCTCTTCGAATTTGACCAAAGACCCATGAGGATCTTGGCCAAAAAGCTGCCGCTGAGCTGCAGACATGACGCCAAACTGATAGGATAGCGTGGAAGTGCTTTCAAATTCACACAAACAAAGTATAAAAGGTGGTGAGCCTCTCCAACTCATGGGAAGGACTGTGATTACCTTTGGGTATGTCCTGAAAGAGGGTGTGCCTTCGCACAATGCAACCCTAAGGTTTGGATCCGTACATGTGCATGCAGACAGCTGGGTAGATATGGAAGAATTCCGGAAGGCTTGCAGGACACCAATCAGCGCACATAGGTTTGGCCGGGTAGTTTGACTTGCAAAGCGACAGCTCTTTTGGCAGAGGCACTTCTGACAGCGCTATACTGTAATATAGATGTTGAAGAATTCTGAGAGGATGGCATATAGATCCGAGCTCAAATGGCACTTCATCTACATGATGGCTGGACGCGAGGCCGAAAAAGCTGATGACAGGCATGGCACACATGTTCCTTCTGTGCAAGGTGTCACAGACAACTATATATATATATAACTAAACAAATACACAATCAATCAATCCAACAATCCAACCAACCAACCAGCAACCAAACACACACAGACCTTGGTTTTCAGGCCGGAAGAAGAACCATTTTCCAAGCTGATCAGCTGGAACCGTGACCCGGCACAGTATGGACATGTTTGTTTGACATCGCTGCATCACCTGTTTTCACGTCTCTCGAGCCATGAGAATTGATAAACCATGAGATTCTGCGGGCGAAGGGACAAGGAAACTAGTAGTAAGGCACTTGTTTCTAATAGCTTCTTGTTACTACTAGTAAGGCACTTGTTACTAGTAGCGAGGCACTTGTTCCTAAGGGACGAGGAAGGGACGAGAGATGTGCTTGCTGTGGCTTGGGCCTCCGAGGATCCTGCATCGAACATGGCCTTCTGCAGGCTGTGGTTGACACAGATGTGATGCTGTGTGATGCTTCTTGGAGAATTCCACTAAATGTTTGATTTGACATGCTTTGGCCTTTCCGGGAGTTATATAATTGTTTGCCTGGTGAATCGGTAACATCCTTGTCTTGCTGGTAAGAGAAGACGTGACACTTTGAGCAATCCACTTCACGTTGCCTGTTGGGTACAGGAAGATGCAGTCTTCAAGAAATACAAGGCACACACACGCCCCTTGCCTGCGCTGCCTTACATATCCTGGGTCGTTTCATTGGGCCAAAATGGGATCCTCTGGTGCATGATTTCTCCTGCCACAATTTGTAGGCTCAAACCTGACCATTTCAAGCTCCAAGCTGAGGTGTATGGAAAAAGCTAGCCGTAGGCAAGTGTCAGGCCAGCTGGTTTTGTTGGGAATTCTCACCAATATTGTCTTTGCACCAAGATCGTCCAGCTCTTGGGACCGTCCTGCTTGTCTCCAGGTTCAGTATGTTCAGAACGCTTTTCGGAGCAGCTTCCGACTTCTGCGGATTCTGCCACAACATGTGACATGTGCAGGCCTGGGATCGACACTGCAACTCCATTATAGGACTATCAGAGGCCAGGACGATCTGTGCAGAGGCCAGTCTGACATGACTTTCTTGCAAAGATGCAGATGCAGGCTGCACATGAACTCCACAGCCCTGGGAGAGACGCCACCCAAGAGGCCTCAAATACAAGCAAATCCGCCAGAGCTAAGCAGGGTCAGAGCTAAGCAGCAACCCATGAGGTCCTGAGCAGACACTTCGACAGCCAGATTTTCATCAAGATTGCCTTCAACACAAGCAAAAGCTGCTTGAAAAAAACTCAGTGCGTCGATGGGTTAACTTCAGACCAATAGCAGGTGACAAATATTCCTGATTTCGATGTGGATGTTCTCTTATAGGTTTTTTATAGTTTTTTTTTTTCTCTTTCAACAGTCAACAGCTTGGTGAGTAAGGCTTTGAAGATGTGGCCCTTTTCGGTCAGCTCACACTCCTTCAATGTCACATCCTAGACGCTTGTCAAACCCTATTGGCACATTGGAATGAATGCTTATGTATATACAAATTTCAAGTTATTTTAACTCCGACTCACTAACATGGAAGGGGAGAGCCCCTCTGTTCGTAAAGGAAAGTAGTTTTCCAAGCGGCCATTTTCCACTTCCATGTTAGTGAGTCAGGGTGTAATCCTTTCTTGATCAGATGTTTGAGTCTGCAATGAGGAGAAGATTTGGGAAGCTCTTTTCCCCAAGTACTCGCCAGAGGCTGGGATCAAGGTGAGAGCGGGTAGGCCAATCCGGGTGCAGGGCAATGTGACAACTCGTGCAGGCCAGCGGCATGGAGGAGACTGGGTCTTAGCATGGTGCAAGGCACTGTTAGGCTAGAAGTAGAGGAGGACATAGGGAAGAAGGACGTGACAGGCTCTTGGCAAGACATCACCGTTGGCAGCACTCCTGCTCACCAAATTGCATGTCTACTGAGGTGCAGCGGCTTGCACCTGGGCATCCACTACATTCTGCCTCGAGAAGACTCAGGGGCTTATTTCTCGCTGGAGGCACCCCGAAGCACAGCAGTGCTTTGCCCAATCTTTCGCTGAATGTGGAATACAGAACGCTGTTGCTGGCGCAGGGGTGGCACAAATGGACAAGATGGCAAGAAGCTGATGAAAATTGGCCCGTAACTCGTCTGCATTTTGACATGCAAGGGCTTAAGGCCCTGACATTAAACAGACAAGGCAAATATTTCAAACATAACGCAGCTCGCTGTGTTAGCAGCAAAGGGTTTGCATTCCACAATCTTAATTTGGCCACCGCTTGTTGGGGCAGGAGGGCAAAGGCTGTTTAGATCGGCTTGCTCTGTTGCATGTTTGTTGTTTTGAACAACTGAGAAGAACTTTGTCCTAGTAGGTCCTTTCACAACGGTAACTGTCACATCTCCAAGTAGTCCTTTGACCTTTAGAGAAGTCCAAGAATCAGTGAGTAGAAGTCCAAGAACAACTGAGTAGAAGTCCAAGAAAAACTTTTGTGCCATGCATCAGCAGTCACGTCGCTTACCGTGGTTCAGGCCTCCCAGGCCACCCAAAGCGTCAGCTCCAGCCGAATCGCGCCCTCGGATGCGACGATGTTGCAGGGCCGGGTGACCCGGTTTGGGACGTTACGACAGATGTTCGTCTCATCCCTTTTCGCCATGAAATGCGGAATCATGTCGAACTCAGCCACGGTTGTTTGGCATGGCATTTCAGTCACTCCTTGTCCTTTCGACCGCACATCTGAAGGTGCCAACGTCCTCACCGAACTTAGTGACGTGGGTTCTTGCCACAGCATGTTGGGCGAAACATGCAGACAGCTGCATACCACAGTGATCAAGGTGACAGATTTCAGGTCTGAATCATCTCACACCACACACAGATGATTTTTGGACATTATACACTCTTCGTTCAGCAACTTTTCAGCTTTTATTGGTGTGCTCCATTTGGCTTGCCTAGGTGCAAGACCACAGGACTGACCATTTAATTGCAATGATCTGTCAGACTCAGAAAATAGATGAAACTAGTAATGGCGATTTTTGGTTGTCACAGAGTCCATGCAAACTCCTTGACACAAAACCGCAGAGTTTTTAGACTCGATCCGCATTCGATCACTCCTTAGCTCCTGCGTGTTGTGACTGGGGGGTTTCTCTGAAATCATGGCGAACTTCTTCATTGAAAAACAGTTGGAAGCCGTGGCGAGAGAGCAGGGAACAACCGTTCGAAGCTTGAGGAGCAAGATCAGCGATGTGGCTTCAGGCCTCCAAATGGCAACCGCTTGCAGTGGAACCGACTCCCCTATGGTGCTGGCCAAATGTCTGGGCCTGGAGAGCAGCTTTAGCTGCGAATTTGATGAGCGCAAACAAGAATGGATCATGGAAAACTTTCCTGAGATTCAACGGCTCTTCTCTGACATCAAGACGTTGAAATGCCAGCAGGTCTTGAATCTTGTCACTGGAGCCATGGAAAGGGTGCCACGAGCAGACATCTTCATTACTGGCTTTGTTTGCAAGTCTGTCTCCACGGAGAACAACGACAGAAAAGTCTACAAGAATTGCATCAAGGAAGGAACAGGAGAAACAGGAGAAACCTTCAGCGGCATGATGGACTACGTGAAGAAGCATTCCCCATCCGTGGTAATTGCTGAAAATGTCAAGGGAATCACAGCAAAGAACGATGGCCAGCCACCGGTCATTCTTCATGTTGCCGATGCAATGAAGAGGGCAGGGTACCACTTTGGGTACAAGATCCTGAACACCAGTGACTTTCTTATTCCGCAAAGCCGAAACAGGTGCTGGATGATCGGCCTACGCCGTGACAAATACAGCCAGTGTGATGTGGAGGATGTCTTTGATATGATCGAGCAGATGAAAAGCCCTGCCATGGAGCTGAAGAAGTACTTCCAGCACTTCTGTGTTGGTCGAGCAGGGATGCCCGTGAATAAGGCCCCAAATGCGCGTCAGAAGAGGGTGATCAAGGTCGCCCTGAAGAAGGTGCCCAAGCGAAGCAATCGCGACCAAGTGATTGTGGATGTGGCAAAGAGCGAGCAACGGGCACCAGTGCAGCTCAATCGTACGCCTTGTTTGGTGGCCAACAGCGCCATGTTTTGGCACAATGAAGAGCGCTTCTTGAGTGCTGAAGAGGTGTTGGCCCTGCAGGGTATCTTCACCAAAGATTTCAAGGCTGCCAAGAGCACTTTCCTTACGCAGCAGCGCAGACTATGCCATGATCTCACTGGAAATGCCTTTAGCATGAGCGTCTGCAGCGCGGTCCTGACGGCCGTGCTGCTCAAAATCGCTGAGGCATAGATGTGGGCGGGCTGCATCCTGGCGAAAGTCAAGGAGCACTTCGCCAATCTGGGAACTGTGTGTGTCCGCAAGGGAGTGACACAAGCAGTTGTCAATGCACGTAGAGCATAAACGTGCGTTTCATCCTGGTCAGCAGCTGGTCAGTGTTGTTTTTTAACGGATCATTGACCCAGCTTGGCCGCATCGAGGAAAAGTGAGTCTTTTTGCATCGCTGCGCCGCGTTCTTCTTTGCAGTTTCTTGTGGCTTGATTTGTTTGCTCTTGTTGCGTGTCTTCACCAGTGCTTGGGATTCTTCCATTTCACCCGTTCGTCACAGGACCTTCTTCGCTGCGCTGCTTCAGAAGTTCCTTCGCTGAGAGGAGGCGCCAGGGGGTGCCAAATCAATCGCGTGTCCGACATTTGCCTTCCTCGTGTTGAGGTAACTGTGATGAGACCCATCAAGCTGCGGACGAGGGGGGTGCTGATGGATCTGCTGGTGTTCAGCCAAGCGTGCTGGAAACTCAACACGTCGAACGTGAGGCACACAGAAATGACAGGATTCAAACATCCCAACCATTCTTTCTCTTTACTTCTCCCTGGTATCTCCTCCAAGAGGGCATCAGGGATTAACGCCCTGGCAGAAGACAGGGTTTCTCCTCCCAACGGTTGGGGTTTTCAGCATTCGTTTTTATTTTCCAAACTGAGGAGTCGTGCAGGGGATCCCTTGGTGGGGTTTTTAGTTGAGTGGTGACCTCAGAAGTGTTTTGCGTCAGACGTGTGGCACCAACATGTCGTAAGAACAATGAACAACAAACAATTTGAACGAGATCCATTCTCCAAGGTCAAGCAGGAATCTGGTAGACTTGCGACCAGGCCCCTTTTCAGGCGCAGATGAGTTTGCACATTGGATTTCCTGAACATCCAAGAGATGCACGATTGCACGAGGCTTAGATGGCTTTGAGACCATCCCAGCTCCACAGAAACGGCCCGACTCTTTGGGGAGTGGCCCATGCATGCTTGGACTTGGTGTTATATAATAAAAATATGTGCTACCAGCAATGATTTCATTGATATAATCTATACTTGTAAATCATGGCTTCAACATGCTTCACCTGTCTTCGTTTTTGCAATCTCGTGTCTTTGGTCCGAAGAGCACGGAGTTTGTCGCCAGGTGTAGCGATCGCTTCTCCAACGTCCACATCGTCGGAGGTTGTTCACCAGCCCCTCACACCTCAGGTGGGGCATTACATTGGTTAGATGGGTTTTCAATTTGGGTGCGAATTCAAACGAAAGGAAGACAGAGAGAAGACAAAAAGAAGGGTAACAAAAAGAAGACAGAAACACACTGAAACACATACAGTAACAAACAGAGCCAAGAATACACATACAAAAGGCACGAAAGAACATTATTTGATACGCCTCAAGCGCCAAGGTGAGGCCATCTCGGGGAAGCTCATCAGAAATTAGCGCATCTCTCCCGCGTGTCGGTGCCACAGTTCTGTGCCTTGAAAGGGGAAGGTGAAAGAAGAAGCGCCACACTTGCTAGGGATGGAATCACGTCTTCCATCAGAGTTTCCTCAAATTCTATTCACTTGACCTGTGCTTTAGCTCTCATGTCCATCGAAAAACGTCTTAGGTTGGTGCTGGTCCATTACCACCACTACCAGAAGCAGAGAATCAGGTGCGCCAACGGCATCATGTCCAAGATGCCAAAGCTTGTGAGTTGGCAGGATCCATCGGGACCTGCTGCTCCGAGAACCGCGCTTCCAGACTGTCCTGGGTTGCCCGAGGACTATGAGCGCCACCGACACTTCTGTTTTTGGTCAGAAGGCCACGATGAGCCCCGATCCAAATGCAGTATTTTCCATTTTTGCTCGGGAATCTCACGGCTTTTCCACGCACTCCACACACTTTTCTGCAGGAGGATCCGCAGGAGGATCCACAGGATTACCCTGCGGACCCTGAGCTGGGCTCAGACAGCGACGAGCAGACGGAAGAATCAGCGTCTGGCACTGAAGAGTCAGGCAGAACTAGGGGAGCTGCTTTGCAGAGTGGTTAGCTTTGAAGATTTCTAGAGGTCTCTAGACAGATGCTGCTTTGCAGAATCCGTTGGCCGGGCAGTGGGCCATCCATCCCGTCATGCTTTGTACAGGTGAATCTGAAGATGCAAGTGAGAATTCCGAGATGCATGCGGAATCCGAAAAACTTGCAGTGGAGCTGCATGCGGAATTCAGGTGGGAGCTGCATGGATGTTCGGAGTGTTTGGTCTTTGGGGAGCCTAGATTTAGCCTCTCCGGTTTACTGTGCCTGCTTGGGACCTGCTATGTAGAATGTCCGGGAAACGCCAAGTTCTTTTCCAAAGGACAGAGATCAGAGCTGTGAGAAAGGTACTGGAAGTGTATCAAAGCACCAACCGACCATCATGGACCTAGACTGACCGCGTGAGCCTGCTTGGTCCTCTTTGTCCCGCAAAGGCGACGCCCAAGAGTCAACAGCCACCGCCGGTCAACCATCACTGAGGACCTGCATCACTCTGGGACCAAACACGTATACGCCTCATTCGCATTCATTCGCCTCATATTTTTGAATCAACTTTTGAGGATTGTAGGGGCACTGTAAGGGCTGTGTGTCAACTGGTAGTTTGTTGACATTGGCACATGAGTAGCTCGTTTGGTCAGAGCTTTGCGGATCTCTGGACCTGACGAAGATCACTTTGCTTGGCGGGACTGCCATCAGTTGCAGGACAACAGCGGGACACGCTTTATGCAAATGCTGGAAGATGCTCTCTGGGACACCTGCAAATTTCGCTCCACGACAGCAAACAGGGAGCGAACGTGGGCATAGTGTGGCACAATTTATACTCGGCATTTTCGATGCATTTCCCAGGTCCACCGCAGATCAAGTGCAAAACTTTGGAGTTTGTGGAGAATGCACCGAAGGTGCTTGGAGGTCAGATGCCCCGACTTGGATGTGTGTTGACGATGCGGATTCTCATTGTTGTCCAGTCCACACTTTCCTCTTCACTCACTAGTCACTAGGTTGGAATGTCACGCTATGGATCTATTCTCTGAAGCCGTCCATGAACAGCGACTTAGTGGTCAAGAACGCCACTTGACTGGGCACTGGGCATGACCGCCACCTTTTGGAAAGCATGACCGCCACCTTTGCTGCGTGGATGGTCGTTTGCGTTGTGTTTTGTGTTGTCTTCCAACAGTCAGGTGAATCAGCTGGTCGAGAAGTATGAAGAATGGGCTGGGGAGGACAGAACAGGAGATTTTTTTCAGAAGTACGCCTGGGTGTCTTGGATGCACGGTCGGTTTGTGAAGTATGCAATACCAACCCAATGCGCTTTCTAGTGCAGCTAGCTTCGCAGAAATCCGCTTTTTGCAAGGTGTGGTGTAAGTTCAAGGCAGGCAAGGACCAGCCGTACAAGGAATGCAAGCCGTCGGGTGTGTCCCAATCTTAGAAGCTTCTTGCTCCTAGTAGCGATGCCCTTTGTTCCTAGTAGCGATGCCCTTGGTACTAGTAGCTTCCTTGTTCCTAGTAGTAATGCCAGGAGCTACTAGTAGCGTCCTTGTTACTTGGCTGAGCGTGGGTGGTTTGGCTCACGCCCATCGCTTCGCTTTCCAAGGAACGCACCCAAAAATGACAGCTCGCAGAGACATGGAGCTTTGCGTGAAGACATAGTAACTTGGAGAGAAGAAAAATAGATTACATGTTTGCAAAAAATGGAAGTAAATTTGTTTCTTTTTTTTGTAGTGCCTTGGAGAGATTTACCTGAACAGTCTTCACAGTGTGGGGTTCAAGGCCTGGTTGTCCAAACTAAGGCTGAGGAGACTGTTGTTCAAGACACTCGGATCGCTCCAGCACCCTTGCAGGCTGGATGGTTGCCCAGTAACAAGAAGATACTAACAACAAGGGCATCGCTACTAGTAACAAGTGCATCTTGTTTATTGAAGAGCGACGAACCAATTGCAGTTGTGCTGCAGCTTTGGGCATTTTTCCGCTCAGGAAGCAGTGCAAGCAGTCCAAGCAGTGCAACATGTGGCCTCAACTTCCAGTCGGTGGCAGGCTTTCGGTTTAAGTTTAGTCATGATTCGGCCACGAAGCAGTTTAATTCATGGCAACACTGTGACATTAAGATTGTCCAAATATCTAGAAACCAAATCATAAAAGCGGCCGGGGGAGCTTACTTGAAGAAGCGCTCGCACTATTTGTTTGGTTCCTAGATTTTTGGGAAACTTAACTAAGTTGGTGCAAGGCATGCAGCAGGTGGAGATTGAAGCCTCACTACAGTACCACTCCAAGGACTGAGTGCGACTGGGCTCACAGTACACGGGGCAGCCTGCTGCGCGCCGGACCCCAACTAACAGAAAACCTCAGAGCACTGGCGTCCAAGCAGCTTTTAGGCGTGCCTTAATCAATGAGCTTCAGAGGACTTGTATAACTACTTCTTGTTATACACACACACACATAATTACAGAGTTTCTTTCTTCACTTTAAACTTAGACCTGGCTTGCTTTCTTCCTTCCTTACTACCCCAAGCAAAGAATGAGTTCTTTTTACAACAACATGCAGATAGACACTGCGCCTAGAAATCAATGGGGGCAGGCACACACGTAGGACATTTGCTGGCATTTTCACTTTCTTCAAACGATCAAGGCGATGTTTACCCAGGACATTTGTGTATATAGTCATGTGCTTAGTTTTGTTTTTGCAGGTGAAAGGTGTCCGGTGCTCTTCGGGTTTTCAAGAACTGAAACCTCTTTTTGTGGTTAATCGGAAATCCGTTTATGTAGATATACACATACGGTAGATGTCTTGTAGGACAAGACAGGACGCAACCATTGCCTTGGTCATATCCACATCTGGCGGATATAGAGCTTGGATTGATTGGCAGCGCGCTCCGCAGTATCGTGAAAGTTTGCCAAATCAGAGGTCGACCTTCGGGTTTCTGCAGTTGTGGCCACACTTTTTGTCCTAGGAGCGATCGGACGCTTACTAGTAACAAGGACCCTTATTCGACGACTTCTGGGATAAAGAGACACGAGCCATAAGAGTGTGGCAGCACCAGTCTCCTCTTGGCAAACAAGGGCGCTGGAAAAGCCCAACAAGATCAGGAAGATGGAATGAGGGCGTTTGTATTGCGGGTGTCTATCAAACCGATACCTTTTAGGAAGATGCTGTCGTGATGAGCCTTCCAGAATGCGCTGGCCTCAAGGGAAAACATCCACTTACTTGTATGGCCCTGTTCATAGCTTATTTTTCTCCAGGAGAAGACAGACGCATCGTTCCGCGGGGGTATCAGGGTATCAATCAACCCCCCACTGTTTTATTGTTGTCTTTCTTGTTTTTCACATTGTGAGGATCAAAAGGTAGGTCATCGGGCCATCAGGGGTCGGAGTTTGAATTCGTCGCTTGCTCGCAGGACTCTAGACTTGGCGGTGCGCTTTCAAGGTGGTGCGTTTTCACATGATGAAGTGAAGCAGAACATGGTTCCTCGTCTTGCGGGTTGGCCAAGGGAACGACTGCCGTATTAGTATATCATTTTCAAATGCGAACGCAAGCAGATGTTCCGAATGACCCAAGAAGAAATGCAGCCTGAGAGTTAAGCCTCCTACTAGTAACAAAGGGCATCGCTACTAGGACCAGGAGAAAGGACGCTACTAGTAGCTCCTGGCCTTACGACCAGTAGCAAGAAGCTAATAGTAACAAAGGAAACCAAACCATTAGTGCGAGCGTTTCTTCAAGGAGCTCCCCCTTGCCCCGTTTAAGGTGCAGGGGGAGCTTCCTTGAAGAAGGGTGAGCTATCCTGCGTCCATACTACTTGTAGTAGCTTAAGTAAGGTACTAGCTACCTGAGTTCCTTACTCAATTAAGCAAGCGCCTACTTAATTATATAAGTAGGGAGGGGGGGGAGCGGGCTCTAAAAAAATAGTGTGTCATTCTTTCTTGTTCATTTCTAAACTGTAGGTGAAGCTCTTGGGCCTGCAGAACTGCCAGTTGACATTGATGGCCTTGGAGCTGGGTGAGCTGGGTGGCTCCTATTCTGAGGCCAAACTACAGAAACCCGGCCATTGTTAGTTTTTTGCACTTTTAAATAACAGGTCGGAAGGACGACGAACAACATCGATTTATAGGTAAAGCAAGCTGGAAACAATTAGACAAGATAAGTTCATTTTGCAGCACCTTCGAGCGAGCTGTGCCAGGGTTGAAACTGAGGATCCGCACCTTATCGCCTGCGCCTGCCACGGAAGAGACGGAGGTGAGTGTGCACGGGCACAGAGGTTTTGGAACAAAGGGAACCTTGCATGGACGATTCTCTTGTTCAACGAATTGAAGGGGATTGAGGGTGCAAACCTCCGGATAGTCTGAACAGAGGACATAATATTGAACATGCTGTGAAACCAGGCGCTGCAAGCCAAGCTAATGTACTTGCACAGATATGGGCACAGCTCGTCTGGAACTCATTTGACACGGAAGACTCCGAAAGTGCACGAAGCATGGAGTTCAGTACGCCAAGGAGTCTTCGTTTGCCCGGGGGCTGGAAGTGGGTGGCAGTGGCTGCCCAAGGCGTTTTGATTTGTTGCGCGTTAAAGAACATGGATGATCCTCCAGAGTTCCGACTTGAGATCGCTTGAATGATTACGTTAACCAGAATCAGCATTGAGGTCGTCAGTGGTCTTGCAAGCAAGGCTGGAAGCCTCTGAAGTCATGGTATGTATTATGAACAAACTTGAATGCAGGAGGTCATGGAGGAGTTTGCAGTTTCTTTCACACTCAAGCTTGAAACTGATGCAACTGGGCTGACATTGTTAGCTATTTGCTGTGTAAAACTTTTTGCAAAGACATGTTCTTTGATAGTCGCGAATGGATTGAAACTTGAAGGGCAGCAGGCTTTGAGCAAAATATCCGATGTGCTTTGGAGAAGTGAGATGGTGCGAAATGCTGACATCCTTTGCACTAAGGCCGCTAGCCTGGCTGAAACCTGGGAGGACTCGGCACAGAGCCTCTCTGATCCTTTGGTGTTTGCCGTAAGACATTTTTGCCTGGTCTGGGACCTTCATTCCAGACAGGGACTTTCTGTACAACTTTTATATTCACCCCAACGGTTCATTTGTTGTGAGACTTTTCTGTTTTTGTTTTCCAGCATTTCTAACTACTGTAGGTATTTCGTTTTCCATCTATTTTTTTCAGGTTTTACCGAGGCCCACGCGTCATTACACAAGCAAAGCACATTCCGCATTTGTTTGTACAGTATTTTGTGGCTATTTAATTGTTGGAAGGGCAACCAGATCATTGAGATGCTCTGCAATGCCTATTGGACTACTTGAATGCGAGTAGATTCAGTTATGGTAACCATGTCTTACTATATCACAAACAAATCACCAACACCTTTTTACCAAACATGACATTTGAGTCCGTCTCCCTATGCCTGTCTGCCACTTCATGGTGCTCCTGGCCACTTCATGGTAGCTGTCACAATCAACGTTTCTCTGCCGTGTAGACGTTGGGCACCAAGGTTTTGGCGACTCTGGTGACTAGATGTCAGCTGTGCCGAAGTTGATATCTTATATTCTATGAGTCGTCGAGTAAAACTCACGTATCGGGGTGTCTGCAAGTGCAACTTCCGTGGTGTTTGGTCCAGGCATGCGTGCCCCAATTTCCAGAATTCTACCAACAAGAATCGGTGACTTATTGGCATGAAGATGCGGACTTGGCTGACCAATGGAGTTACACGGGGTTACTCCTACTCACAAAGGAAAAGACCCATTTCCTCGGGATTCGGGGGGGAACAACATGGGAAGAACCATTTCGACAGCTACGTGGCTTCAAATCGGAGGAGCTTCGTGCAGATTTGGCGCAGAAACTGGGCTTCCACGTGTGTCGCCTGCAGATCTCTGATGTGAGGCGGGTGGGTGTGGGAGGACCGGGCACACCTTCAAAGGGGGCACACCTTTGAGAAAGATCGAAGCCCAGCTAAACACAGCGTGGAGGTTATTTCGAGGCTGTTTTCTTCCTGAACCACACCGGATGGGTGTACATTCGGACGATGCCAGGCACCAGGGCCATGCAGCAGTTATTCAAGTTCGGATCGGTGGTTTCAGCAGAGACCGAGCAGAGATGCTGAAGGAGCAGACCGTTCACTCACTCCAGGGTGGAAACTAGCAGATTGTTCTTAGTACTATGTATCAATTAATACTCAGAAACAGCAGTCGTGGAGGTCTAGAGGCACCATTGCCACGAAAGTTGTGTTGCAGGACTTCTTGGAGTCGGAGGAAGCTATGGGCAAGACCGGCTCAGAACTTCCCTTGCTGGAGACAAGCGATGTCAAGGCCTGGGTAGCCGCGAACAATGCTTGATATTTGGTTGGCGCGTTTCGTTGTTTCAAACCTGTGGATGCATTCGGAATTTCGAGGTTGGAATCACTAGAATCATTCACAAAACACTGCCTGGCGAGAGGTCATAGCTTCCGACACCTTGCCCTATAGTGAAGGACTTCCAGGGGTTCCGTGTATACTGACAGGATATAGAATCATCAGCAGATTGACACAAGAGAGACAAAAGGAAGTCTCAAGGAGTTGCGTGGAGACCTCATTCCCTAATTCGCCTTACTAACTCAGTTGCGTTGCACCTGCAGGACAGGCTTGGAACGATGAGGCCCCGCAAAAAAGACATGTGTCAACGTGGACACGTGCCTAGATGAGTGTGTAGAAAATAGGGAGACCCTTTGCAATAAGGGACATAGACTATAGACCCAAACCCATTGGTTGGAGACCTCCCTTTAAAGAAAACACACACCCAGATGGACTCTCCTTGAGGTGATGGCTATGACGCCAATGCAGATTGTGCCTTGGCAGATATGCAAAACGACCTTCAAGCAAAGGGTGTGCTGAAAGACAAAAAGCATCGACTGCAACGACGATGCGTCAGGGGAGGATGATTGGGAAGCTCAATTCCAAAAGCCTCAATGAGCTTATGGAGGACACAAACCACACTCGCCAGTGATCAATGAGACCCAAACCACACGAGTCGCCAGCGAAGCTCGCAAGGAGTATGTTCGTTGCTGTGAAAAGGGTCCAACAGGTGGGATGTGCGTTAGCCACCGCTGGCCACCATCCTGCTTGTGCCAACTCACTGTGAGGCCAGCACAAGCAGGATGGGAAGCCATACCACTTCTATGTCATCAAGTGGGCACCTCATTGAGCCAGCAAGGCGTCTGTGGCGCATTTCAACAAGTGACATCTAAGGCAAATTGAGGACATCATCAAGAAGTTGCGGGAAGTATATCGAGGCGCCAAGCAACAGAGTCGTCGATATCAACCTCAAAAGCGTTACACAAGTAAGTATAAGAAGAATATAGACTGGTTCATCAAAATGTACAGAGCATTACGCTATGCGTCCCAGGAAGACCTTCAGAATCTCTGAAACGAGCTCTTTCGCAGCATCATATCGAACTGGGCTAAGCTTTGCCACTTTGCGCAGTGTCTTTGCTATGATCGTGTTTTTGAGGGATTGCCTCTGTTGCTGGACTTTGGGAAGACATTGATGCGGGTCATGCACCTGGACATATGGCCTCATCGTTCACCCAGTCGGCGCCTTTTACAGCACGAACTGCTCAGGTTGTGGAAGTCCATGGAGAGAGTGCGCCAGAGGAAGATCGAAAAGACTATTTCCTCAGTCAGGCCAAGGGGCCTTGGCGGTTGGGGAACAACTGGCAGGTGTACTGCCTTGGACTGAACTACACAAACGGCAGTACAGTACACCATATTCTAGTTCAAACGATACGACATTACGATACATTCCGATACGAGTTGTCAAACCAGACCTTCTTCAAGCCTGGAGACACTGGTGTTATGGCTTTGGTGCTGTGAGCAGCAGTGTACTATGCTGATTGCATGACCACATGATATATAAGGCCTTTTTTAATATCTTTCATATATTGTACTCTCTCTCTAATTAATATATATATATATAACTATATATATACAATATATATATATATATGTATTGATCTCTCTCTCTCTCTATATGGAAAGCACATTTGGATCTTTTTGGACAAGCTGTGCCTTGACCGCCTTCGCCTAGGGGTGGCAGCCTGAAGAGATGCGCTATGCCTTGCGACTCCTTGCTTTTGTGCCTTTGGAATATTTTGAGACAGCGGAAGTATATTGATATTTTTGCAAGAACATCATTGTGTGTATCTTTTTTCCTGTGATTGTGCAGCTTTGTCACAAGGTGCTTTCTTGGGAGCCTTGGCAAAGTTAAATTCTCAAACGTTCAATCAATAAAATCGAAGGGCCATGACATGCTCAACAGTCAGCTTCGATTGCAAGCCTTGAGAACGAACATGAAACCAATTGACATGTTGAAGCAACACCTAAGCATCATGAGCCAAGCAATCCTTGGGTCAAGATAGTGACAAAACATGACAAACTCTCCAAATGACCGGAGGACACCCGAGGGTTTGATGCGAAGGCCTTAGCCGACCAAACTGCCACAGAGAAGAGAGAACTTGAAGAAAGGATGATCAGCAGAAGAGATGCAGGGTCTCAAAGCTCGCGCCTTCCGAGGGGCCGGAAGTTCAACCAGCAGATGTCCAAGTGGAAAGCTCGGCCTTTTTCAGGCAAGATGCATTTTGGTGGTGTTGTTTATCAGACGAGAAGCAATGATTTCAATGGGTCAATTTCATGTCAATGGCCTTTGCAACATGGCGACTAAGGTGCACTTGTCGCGGCTCACGGAGTCGCTTGTGAAGGTGGAATGTGTGATGAAGAAACATGAAGAGCCCTTCTAGAGTGGAGTATCCGTGATTGTCAATGGTTTTTGTCCCGTGGCGTTTGAAACCTTTCTTTAGTACATTGCAAGGTGATGGCCATCTACAAGACTTTCCTTGCACTCAAGCTGCACAAGATGGACCCACGATCAACTTGTTTGGCTATCACAAGGTCACAAAAGGAGCTACGTACATCTAAATACAATTAAAGCTTCCAAGCTATCAAGCTAAGATCGTCTGACAGGCATGATTTCTCCTGCTTCATCCTTTCAGCTCTTTTTTCCTGCTCGCTATTGCTCCACGACGTTTTACTTTGACTTTCGCGCCTTTGCGGCACTCGCACCTGGCGCACCGCGGGCACGGCGAGCAAGCGAGGCCAGCCTCGATGAGTCCGACCTCAGTCGTGCCATCCTCGATCAAACGACCCGTTCCGAAACGGACGTGCAATGTGCGGTCAACAAGTAGGAACAAGTGCATCGCTACTAGTAACAAGTGCCTTACTACTAGTAACAAGTGCCTTACTACTAGTAACAAGTGCCTTACTACTAGTAACAAGAAGCTAGTAGAAACAATATATAAATTCGATTTTAATTGGGACCCCAACTGAGGTGGGCTCTACCGTCCCTGCAATGTGCGTCTTGACTTGAAATTCGGGCGGGCCCATCGGGGCAGACTAACTAACAATGGTATGGTATTCGACCTGTTCGACCTTGTAGCAAGGCATGCTCCAAGTTTTGCCAGTTGCATCAAGTTAACCGATGCCAAGATATGCCAAAAACAGCTTACATCTTCTCTACGACTCAGAGGTTGCAGAGCCTGATCGGTGCTTTTCCCACACTCTCTGATCTGTACTTCCTCTTCTCTTTCCGCGATAGCAGGGCCTAAAAAGAACTGTTTTAAAGAACTTTTCAAAAGGCCGCTCAGCCCCCTCCGAGAAGCGATGGCCTCCAACCTACTAGCGATGCCCTCCACCCTACTGAGGTTGCAGAGCCTACAAACTGCGTTGTTGGGCATCCAGACAGAACCTTCCAGTGTCCCTTGCTTGATTGGCGGATCGCCATGAGTGCTTTTGGGTTCCATAGATGGGCCAGGCCAGGGGTGGGTGGTGTTTGTGTTTCAAGAACCGCCTTGGACCTGGGAGTTCAAACTTTCAATCCTTGGTGCAGCCAAGGAGAGTGTGGCTGCTTGGCTTGCTGGCACAGAATCTGGGCAAGCATTGGCCCAGCCTTTTGATGGATCGCCGGGAGTCAAAATGGTGGGCTTCTTGCTCCTAGTAGCGATGCCAGGAGCCCCTAGTAGCGTCCTTGCTCCTAGGAGTAAGGCCAGGAGCCCCTAGTGGCCCTAGTAGCTTCTTGTTCCATGGATGGGCTTGAGTTCCAAGGACGTTTTGGATAGCCTGAGCAAGCTCCTTTGCCAAAGCCGATGTCGTAGCTACAGCCACTTGACGTCGCTTGAGCAAGGTCTACCGCTTGACTGAATACATATTGAAGAGTGAGTTTGAAACATGGGTGCGTATTGGACTAGGGAGACACCAAAAGACCCCTAGGTCGGAGAAAACGTGGACAGGTCTGACAAGTAAACAAAAAGTGAGACTGCTGACCACCAAGGCTTTGTGCATGGTCATGCAGTAGCACTTCTCTTCCCACCAGCAACGCAGATGACCTGTCGCTTGGCCTTTGCAAGAGGCTAAAGTACTGCTTTCAGATACATTGCTTTGCATAGCACTTGAACCCAGATGGGGTCTCAATTACAAGCCGGACTTCTTTAAGAGTCCGTGGACCAGACATAGAAATGGAGACTTGGAAAGTCTGGGAATAACCTCACGATGGAGCTCAGGCAAAGCCTTTTTCGCGAAAGATAAGATGCTCCTGCAAAGTGATGCTATTTGCAAAAATGTCTCGAAGCTGATGAGGGCCATGGTGAGCCTTGACGAAACTTAACTGTGGAGGTTGCGATTCCAAGAAGCCGGCCTGCCATACCACCAGGGACCTTGGGTGTTGCAGTAAGCAATTCCGGACTGGCTTTGCTTGAGTATTTGCGGTGCATCTCACCTGCTCATTGGCAGCTTTTGACCAAGCCACTGTCCCAACCTCATTGCCCATCTAATCATCAGGTGGTCCACCAGGAACACACGTCACGCCTGACTTTGGTTCGGAAAAACCTCGCTCGAATTTACTTGAATGCTGAGAGTAACGGGGGTGGGGCAGGTGCATACAAGAGCTTAACACGCACGGTTTTCACAGCTTATGATGCTTATGCAGATTAACAGCTACATGGTTCCTGGCCCGCGTGTTGGGTGGCCTGGGTGGCCAACGGACGGACATGGACTTGAGGAACTGGACGGACATCAACGGAAGCAGTACCTCTTCGAATTGGAGCACAAGTTTGGACGAGGCCATTCAAAAGATTAGCCTGCCCCAGTTGCTTGGCAGCAGAAACTGGCAGCACAAACCGGTTTGGAGAAATGTTTGGTTGTTTGTTTGAAAGACACCCAACAGACCGATTGATTTCATATGATTTCATACTCAACAAGCCGCAACAAGCCGTTTGGATGTGAAGTTCTGAAGGCTGGCTCGGCTCCTGAACAGACTCAAGCTGCCACCCACACATGTCACCTGGCAGCGTGGAAGACCCATAGTGCGCGCATATCTATGTGTAAATAATATGAGTAGTTTGGACGCTGGAAAAGAAATGACAAACGACATCAAACAAGCGATCACCTTGTGACCAAAATAATTGTTATTGGACAAGATGAGCTACAGAGTGTGAGACTTTCCAACAAATGCTTGTTTTTTTTGCGTGATATCAGGCCATTGACTTGGTGGTCGAGCCGGCGACATTTAAGACCGCAATAGAGAAACGAAAAGAGGTGGAGCCGTTGGAACAGACAGCATGCTCTGATGTCGTCTCCACAAAAGCACAGACCTCTTCGTGACTTTGCCTCTTAACGCTTGCTTGCAATGCCAGGGTAAGTTGAGAGAGTGGACTCAGTTCGACATCATCAATCTGTTAGACGGCCCTTTGCCAGCAGATTGTGCGAGGGTTGATAAATCCAAAGTCACGCAAGACTAATTCTTCTCTGACTGCCCAAATTATGGTATTGGCAGTTCATCAAGAATCAACTTATTGAAACACACTTACATTGGACATCACACCGGCTGACTCCGGCTGTGAAACCCCCTTTTGCCTCCAAACTGCCCACTGGACCCACAGAATCTGCGACGATCCGGTCGATGCCCATCCAGGCTCGCCGCTCCCACTGATTTGCCTCTTCCCAAGGCGGATTTTGCAGATATAGGGATGATATAGGACAACATTCGAGTCATGTTTGGCCATTGGATTCTTTCTGAGTCAAGCACTTGTTTCATTTCGTAGGCAAAACATTCCAGAGCGCGGTCTTTGTTGACGATGAGCTGAGCTTGGAGGGCCGCGCTTTTTATACATGATGCTCCATGGCTTTTGCACGTGCTTGGTCTGTCCACCACGCGAAACTGAGCAGGGCCGGCCTAAGGCCCCAAGGCCTAAGCCTATCAATGAATTCTTCTTTCACTTCCCTATTGGAGATTGCAGTGTTGAAGTTGGTGGAGGACCAGAACGTTTGCTGTAGGTCGTTCTGCAACCATTAAGAGCACCTTTTCTGCGCAAAAGCAAATCCAAGACTGTATTCTTCTCCAGATCCCAACAACAACAACGACAACAACGACAACAACAACAACAACAACACCAACACTCACAATGCTAGAGCTTTTGCGCAGCTGTCGAATTCCATCTTCAGCCTTTGCTGCTGCATGGGTGGATGCCCCAACTCCAAGAATTGGATACAGGGCCCTCACTGTCTTGAAAGCAGGACAACATGTAGGATCATGCAAGCTGGTTCAGGCCTCTTGTCTTTAGGTTTGGCCAGCTGGTACGTCAGGTGTTAGTCTAAGCCCGGAAAACAAGCTTCTTGCTGCTAGTAGTAATGGCCTCCAACCTAATAGCGATGGCCTCCACCTAGTAGCTTCCAGCTACTAGTAGCGACGCCCTTTGTTACTAGTAGCGTCCTTGCTTGTGACATTCAGCCAGATCCGGGACAGTGAGATCCGATCCATGTCTTGGCCCATCGATCGCGGCTCAAAAGCAAACCGGGGTGCCGGAGGAGGCGCCCCAGCGGCTGTCCGGCAAGGTGCGCAACGCGTCCTCGGTCGTTCGGAGCTGCTGAGATGTTGGATTCCATTCGACTCTTGGAATGTGTCCTGGTTTCCTTGCAAATCTGCTGATATCTGAAATTGGAAGAGCATTGGATTATTTGGCACTAGTTTTATCTAGTTTTTTGATATTGTGGAATCTTTCTGTTCTGAGAGTCTGTCTCCATCGCTTCATAAACAGTTGTTCGACAGTTGTTTGGATTGCTTGGACGATGTTAACATCACAGAACAAATGGCTTCATTGCCGAGCTTCGGGAAAAAACGTTCCTGTGAGGTGGTGTGCCAACGTCACCATGGCGACGACCGTGAAAGTGGCGAGTCAAGCCAAGCCAATCAGCTGCAATGAGCAGCAACTTCGCAATTCATCAATGAACTAGGAGGATGCCCCTTTTTCTTAAATTCCTTATGAACTAACTCCTGCCAAATTGCTAGAATGGAACGGAGAAGCTTTCTTTGCTCAGGTGGGAGCCAGGAATGCAGGACAGCTGTTGGATTTACACTTGCATGGATTGGGGGTTACTTTTGGCTTTGCCCCCGCGGGCATCCTTTTGCTTTAGAACCCTCCGTTTGTGTCTCATGCCGCTTCCCGGGAACAGCAGGAGTCTGATTTGATGGACGCCCTGCCCAATGGCAAAAGTCGAATGGATGCACAGTGCAGCCCTCAGCGGAATGGCTTCGGCCCCGGCCTTCAGCTTGGGGTGTCCTGATAGAGCATAGTGCATCCTCAATCGATGGCAGGACACAGAGCATCATGCTCGTCTCCTTGGGGTGCTATTGTGGGCCGCGCTCTGGCTGTGAGAAGTGTCACCTCTCCTGTTGAGAACAAATTGTTGGAACACTTGGACTCAGCTTTGGATTGGTTGTGGTCTTCAAAGAAGGCATGAGAACATCACGAGAGAATGCCACATCCGGCTAGCAGGCTCGCCTGGCTCGCGCCCAGGAAGCTCTCGTTCAAGAACATCGGACGAGGGGCGGAGACCTTGCCCTTTGACTGGATGCGAACTCGTCACGAGGTACGCCGCCGATTTTGGAAATTGGACTCGACCAAAGCAATGTTGGACGAACAAATCTCGAGATTCTGCATCGTGACAAATCTCGAGCATTGCTGTCTCAGGGCTTGATGCACTTTCTACAGGGCAACTGGGACGAAGAAAGCAACTACAATGGCTGCCTGTCTGCAAAATATTGAATACAATGACAGGCATTATTAATTTGGCCTTTGGTCCAACCAGCCCAAGTTCGGCACTTTACCACAACTCCAGCGACCCACGCACACTAAGAAACTATTCTAGTCTGGAAACATGTACTTCAACATTGCTTCGTCGACGCGAGCTAGTGCTGCGCTGTGACATACATGCGAAACTCCTGCTATCGTATGTTAGACTTATATACAACAAAACTGTGCAAGGCTTTATGTAGATTACATTCATCGATCATCATCAAAGGAAGTTTAGTGTGCAAAACTTCCGTGTTACGGACATTCAACAGCTGTTCAATACAGCACTCACCGTACACCACTCATCATACACCACTTATCATACACCCCTCATCATACACCGCTCATCATACACCACTCATCATACACCACTCATCATACACCACTCATCACACACCACTCATCATACACCACTGGTGAGATGACTCAGATTTCGTGGCAGGCGCAGCACTTTGTGAAGTTGATGTGCAGATTTCGTGGCAGGCGCAGCACTTTGTGAACCTCCATGGCAAGATTTCGTGGCAGGTGCAGCACTTTGTGTACCTCCAGGTGCAGATTTCGTGGCAGGTGCAGCACTTTGTGAACCTCCATGTGCAGATTTCGTAGCAGGCACAGCATTTTGTGAACCTCCATGTGCAGATTTCGTGGCAGGCACAGCACTTTGTGAACCTCCAGGTGCAGATTTCGTGGCAGGCGCAGCACTTTGTGAACTTCCATGTGCAGATTTCGTGGCAGGCACAGCACTTTGTGAACCTCCAGGTGCAGATTTCGTTGCAGGCGCAATACAAAATGCGTTTTGGAGAGAGCGGACGCACGAAATGCTGTATTTTTCAATAGAACCGGTGGCTTCAAACCTGGCAAGTCTAGCTCTGCGGAACGACGGGTGCGAGACGGTCTCGGGTCATTCTCGGATCATGCTCGGACATGTCGTCCCTCCATTGGGATTAGAGTTTTCACTTGTTTCTTGAAGTGCAGATTTCGTGGCAGGCACAGCACTTTGTGAACCTCCATGTACAGATTTCGTGGCAGGTGCAGCACTTTGTGAACGTCCATGTGCAGATTTCGTGGCAGGCGCAACACTTTGTGAACCTCGAGGTGTAGATTTCGTGGCAGGCGCAGCACTTTGTGAGCGTCCATGCGCAGATTTCGTGGCAGGCACAGCGCATTGTGAACCTCCAGGTGCAAATTTCGTGGCAGGGGCAGCACTTTGTGGAGCTCCATGTGCAGATTTCGTGGCAGGCGCAGCACTTTGTGAACCTCCACATGCAGATTTCGTGGCTCCATGTGCAGATTTCGTGGCAGGCACAGCACTTTGTGAACCTCCATGTGCGGATTCCGTGGCAGGCGCAGCACTTTGTGAACCTCCAGGTGCATCCTGGTATGAATTTCCACTATGAAATCAAAGGGGCGTGCTGCCTGTTTATAGTTAAAACTATTCCCGGGAGTTGAACTATAAAATCGTGATCACTAAATTGGCCTTAAGACAGCTTATTTTTTTCTGACAGGATGACTGGTGGTTCAAAAGTGAGATCATGATTTTATAAGAAACCACGATTTCAAAAAATAAGCAGTGTACCCAAACATTTAGAAGACAAATTGATTCTATAAGGAATACGTGTTATTGTGAAATATGGTTTTAATGTTATAGTATATTTGTTTGCCTGAGATTTTATAGGGGGCCACCTGGAAAATTGTAATACATGTTGATTCTACAGGTGAATTGGCTAATTCCAAAATCATAAATTGATTCTATAGTCACATTGATTTTATAGATTGAAAAGTGACCACTGATTCTATAGTCACATTGATTTTATAGATTGAAAAGTGACCACTTCCAGACAACATTGATTATATATTGTGGAGTTGTAGATGTGAAAACTCATTTTTGACAATATAGGAGGTCTTTTGGTCTAAATTTGGACAGTGATTGCTCTTTCATTTTATAAATTCCAGCCGAAGAACAGACGCATGAGCTTGAACTTCCGGAGCTGGAACATCTTTCTTCTCCCCCTCAGATCCCAAGAATTTCCTATCATCTAGCTCCTAGCATGGCTATAAATTCAGCTTTGCAGGAAGGACACGGGTCTCAACAGAACCTCTCACCCCAAAATTCCAAAACCAAAATCTGAATATTTGGATTGCCTGGATGTGAGGTTCCAGGAATTCTGGAAGGCTGGGAGCTTTCAAGGACAGGAAATCCAAACTTGGATTCTGCTGGAACCAGTCAACTCACAAGGGCTATAACATCAAATACCTGCTCTAAATGAAAATCTTGCTGTAAACGGAATCACTGCTTGATTTGAATCGCTTGCAGGCTCGTGTCTCTGTTCCGTTTGGCGTCTTTCCGATTTCTTTGAGTTGACTGTTCAAACAAAAAAATTGCTATAAATTCAAAGGGCCAAGACGCTCTGGCGCTCTGGCGCCAAGTTTTCATAAAGTCATAAATCTGTTGTTGCTGTACTGGCATGTTGTGGACCTGTGCACCCCATTCTATAGTGACTTCATTTGGCTGTCCTGTGAGCTAAGGATGCCAGGTTGTTTCCATAATCGTATTGATTTTATAGGTCTCAGTGTGTGTGCAGGCTCATGAAAATGACATTTTATAGAGTAACCCTCCCCCCCCAAACCCAACCCTGCAAGTTAAGTGCTATAAAATGGGGGGGACAGGTAGGTATGGAAATCCCCACGGGGATCCAGGTGCAGATTTCGTTGCAGGCGCAAGACAAAATGCGTTTTGGAGAGATAGCGGACGCACGAAATGCTGTATTTTTCAATAGAACCGGTGGCTTCAAACCTGGCAAGTCTAGCTCTGCGGAACGATGCGAGACGGTCTCGGGTCATTCTCGGATCATGGTCGGGCATGGTCGGAATCGTCCCTCCATTAGGATTAGAGTTTTCACTTGTTTCTTGAAGTGCAGATTTCGTGGCAGGCATAGCACTTTGTGAACCTCCATGTCCAGATTTCGTGGCAGGCGCAGTGCTTTGTGAACGTCCATGTGCAGATTTCGTGGCAGGCGCAACACTTTGTGAACCTCGAGGTGCAGATTTCGTGACTTCGAGGTGCAGATTTCGTGGCAGGCACAGCACTTTGTGAACCTCCATGTGCAGATTTTGTGGCAGATGCAGCACTTTGTGAACCTCCAGGTGCAGATTTCGTGGCAGGCGCAGCGCTTTGCGAACCTCCATGTGCAGATTTCGTGGCAGGCACAGCACTTTGCGAACCTCCACGCGCAGATTTCATGGCAGGTGCAGCACTTTGTGAACCTCCATGTGCAGATTTCGTGGCAGGCGCAGCGCTTTGTGAACCTCCATGTGGAGGTTTCGTGGCAGGCGCTGCTGAGAACTGGCGGCTTTCTAGTACCACTTTAGTACGCGGAGCAATCTGTAGAGCTGGAAGCTGAGAACTGGCGACTTTCTAGTACAACTTTAGTACGCGGAGCAATCTGTAGAGCTGGAAGCTGAGAACTGGCGACTTTGTAGTACAACTCTAGTACGCGGAGCAATCTGTAGAGCTGGACTTTCTAGTACAACTTTAGTACGCGGAGCAATCTGTAGAGCTGGAAGCTGAGAACTGGCGACTTTGTAGTACAACTTGTAGAGCTGGAAGCTGAGAACCGGCAACTTTTTAGTACAACTTTAGTACGTGGAGCAATCTGTAGAGCTGGAATTTAGCGGAGTGACTCTGGAGACTGGCTTTCACAGACTGGAGCCTCCAGTTCGTATCAAAGTTGAGGAGATGCCATTCCGAACTGATGGAACCTACGACACCGACACTCTGCTGCGTCATGTCGGACGTCGCCCCGACGATGTTGCTGGAAATGTATAGCTACATTTGCTCCGACGCGCGGTGCTGTGACCCGCGTCATGTCGCCACTTTCGTAGCTACAGAACCGCCCCAGCTGCCCGTTGTTCCACCTCGTCCAGCCCCTGCCGGAGCTACTGGGCCACCCGGTCCTTGCTTTGCCGGGAGGCATCGATCTGCGTGCGTCGCTGTGGACCGCGCAGACAGCCGGGAAATGCACTTGCCTTGCCGGAGCTACTGGGTCACCCGGTCCTTGCTTTGCCGGGAGGCATCGATCTGCGTGCGTCGCTGTGGACCGCGCAGACCGCCGGGAAATGCGCTCGCCTTGCCCCAGCGAGGAACAGTTTCGCTGTTTTTGAGTTTGAAAACACCTCCCACTTCGCGTGCTCGCAGGAACTGCACTTAACTTTCGATTGCAGCTGCCCAGTTGCTTCAGCACGCCGGTGTGGGCTGCTGATCTTGCTTTGCCACAGACACAACCCAGTACGCTGTTGTGAGCTGCTGATCCTGCAGGAAGCACAGACCTTGCACAGGTGGCGCTGTGTTGATCAAAAGTCCGGAGCGCGTGCGTTTGACTGGGGGACGCGCGTGTTTGAGAGAACCGGAACACTCCTATAGGTCAATTTGTTCTTATAGGAAACCTCCGCGGCCGGCTTGCCCGGGAACTGCTTGTACATCCATGGCACTTGAGAGTCCTACCATTGCGCGATGTTGCGCTTTACTCCAACAAGTCCTTGACGAACGCATCCATGTCGAATGCGGTTTCCGCCGAGGCTTCTTCGAGTTTACCTCCAAGAAGGCCAACACTGTGAGGAGTGTAGTCAAGTGTAGACCATTGGAGTGCTTCTGAGATGTCTTTTTCGTGTGTTCATGTGTGGAGGTGGTGCCAGGCTGCCAAATGACCACGCACCTGGACTGAAGATCTAGACAGATGAATGTGGATGAAATGCTCCAAACAGAGCCATGCTGGGGCATGCTGCCACTTTTTGGGACTTGTCTCTTTGGTTTCGTTTCAGATGGAGTTGTCACTGGAGTCGGAGCCATCAGGTATCGGAGTTACTATCACTCATTCTGGCACGATGACCCTACAGACCCTGGGATGCACGAGAGATACAAGCGCCGCCCTGGGCTCAATAACTGTCCGTGCGTGCGCTTGTTAGTAAGCCGAGCTCAAGTGTTCTGGCTGAGCTGAGTGAGGCATCAAGCGCTTCAATGAGATTGATGCAGAGAGCAAGCCCGTGCTCTTTGTGAGAACCATACCAACAACGGAGGAGCTTGAGAACGTTCCAGCGTTTCTTGCTTGGTAATGGCAATGGGCCAAGTGACACTGGGGGGTTCTCAAGTGCCCGTGTGATGAAGCTACTTTCTTCAAATCCGAAGGTTGATGGATTTGCTGATCAAGCGCCATGGGAAGTACATTGGCTGCAGCAGCAAACCAGAGCAGGGGACTTTTTTTGCTGTCTTGGGGTCTGTCTATCGAAGCTTCAGTCCCAAGTCAACTCAAAAGATCTCATCGTGTTGCATGTCTGACCAAAGTCGCAAAGCATGCAAGAGGTGCATCTTAAGCGACAAGCCTGCGACTGTTTTAGTATTGCACATTAAGTAGCTGTAGTATCCTCATGATGACACACGCATGAGTGTCTTGCCCAAACTCAAGGCAAGCATTCTTGTTGCTCATTATCGACTTCCAGAAAACAGCGCAAGGGGCTGCTGTGGTGGAAGGCAGGATGACTTTTGGGAAAGAGGTTTATAAAGAGCTGAATGCTATTTGCATGGTGATGTGAGGCATCGACAACATTATGGTGCACTTCCTCTCAGGAAGTAAGCACGTGAACCAGGAGAGAGTCTAGAGCCGCCCTCCTGCTCCTCTTTCTCCGTGGATCATGTGCTTGCCATCGCTGTTTTTCTGCTTCTGAGGAGGGGTTACCTGCTCCGCCATACGGCGATGCAGTGATGCTTGGGCAAGAGTTTGGATCGAGCGAAACTTGAATCTGCTGTGTCAATGTGGATTACTGGATTGACAGGTGCAGGAAGTCTCGCACCAGTCGGCCAAATCCAGTGCATTCTCGCATTTGTGCCCAGGAATTTAGCATTGGACTGGATTGTGGGCCGGTCCGTGTCAGTGATGCAGTTCGAGAATTGGGAGCCTCGGCATTTGTGGTTTCAAGTTTCCCAGCCGTGGCCAGATTGTCACATCACGTGCTTCCCCCCAGCATCATGCGACAAGCGACTTCACAGAGACTGTCTCGTTTCCGTTTCGCGGATCGCTGCATTTTGCCAAGGAAAGCATAATGAGATGCTCGGATCACACTGAGCCTTGGCTTGAGCTGGAACGTGGCGAGGCGATGAGAAGAGTCCAAAAGAGGATGCATCCAAACCTTTTCGAACCTTTTCATCTTTGTGAGATAGAACCAATACTTGAACACCTTGCCTTTTGATGCCTTTTTGGCTTTCCCCTTGAGCCAAAAGCAGCCGAGGAGTGGGGATTGAATGGCCTTGGGGGCCTTTATGCCTTTGAGTTGGGTCTGGAAGCTCCACAAGAAGAGCCTCCAGAGCTTCTCAGCAACCCCAGGAGCCTTCAGAGCCGCTGGGGGTGCGGAGGCTGTCACGTGCTGAGGCTGTCACATCCTCTACCTCAGCTGGATCCGATCCCGTCGGAGAAACTGGAGGACATGTTCCTTCGCAAGGCGACCCGCTTTGCAGTGCGCGTGAGTCAAATTGGCTAAAGCCTCACAAAAAGGACACCGCAATAGATTTGTATGTATATAGAATATACGTATTGCATTTCTGTATCACACAAAGTTGCACCTTGCATTTGACACCGGCTTCACCGCGCTGCTTTAGGTTGCCTAGTTAGGTTACCAACCCTTCGGAACCTTCCACAACCTTTGTGAAAGGGTCTGTTGAGGGGCGAGACGCAGCCTAAGTTCACCATGAACAAAAACAACATCACTTGGAGTGTGACACCTTGTGGAGAGTCTTTTCTGGTTCCTTGTGAAGACCAATTGCAGATGCTTGCAGTCCTGGTGAACTGTCACCATTGTCACCGAGCCTCCCATCCTTCCAGGCTCCAAGGGAGCGGCCGCAACTGCGACAGCTCCAAGTGGTGCCTTTGGGATTCGGTGGCTTTGTGAAGGCAGCGCCGTTTTGCTTCGACGCTTCAGCTCAAACGAGATGTACTGGTTCAGCTGTCTTCTCTTTTTCTCAGTTCCCAAGGGTTTTTATGGGACAGGTATCCGATGTAGCCATCTTCTCACAATTTTATACATATATAATGTATATTTATTTTTCTGAGTGCATGCTTAGCAGAGTTGTCGGATCCTTCCAGTATCTTCCAGTTCTATCTTATATATATATATAGTCTGATTGACTCGAGATGGCAATGCCGAAGGTGAGATACCAGCTACAGGTTAAAAAACAGTGAGACCAGCTGGAGCCTGTTGCTTGGTACGGCTTGGTCAACCCTGCAGGCCAGTGTGCTTGCAATGGGAATTCCATCTGTCTCGCTGCCCTTCGATTGGATTATGAGACTTGGAGACGGAATCAGGAGTCCTTCACACAGATATTAATAGACTTGTTACGCAGATAGCTTTCCTCTACTAACTGCCATAGATCCAACGAAATCTAATTATATAAGTCTTAATCTAACTGCTGGATTTCTTGCAGAACTTGGCAACAGATCCGCCTTAAGAGTTTTTCCAATGCCAGCTTGACCTCCTCAGTGATTTTGAGCATCAATGCTCTCTGTTCTCAGGATCAGTCACGCTGGACTTCTACACTTCCTGCGGCAAGGCTTCGAGGCGTTTTGGAATAAGAAGAAACACGCATTATTAACTAAAGAATCCATAGACATACAAGCTATGTTTTGAATATCTTTGTTATTTGTTTTATGTTTTGTTCTCTTTTTACAGTGGCCGCGATGGCCACCTACGGCCCATGGCCCGCGGCCAGGCACCGATTCGAAATGGACTCGGTGCGGGTGGCCAAAGGCCTGCGGAGAAGAGAGGATTCTTCGATTTCGCCACCAGGAGTGTTAGACCCGACAACTCTGCAGAGGATTCTTCTGATTTGGTGTTACATGAAACCACGGTCCAATCGCATACCATGCTTGTTCTTGCTGCCTTTACTGCGAAATGGATAAATGGCCGAATGGTCACTTCGCTGAAGGAGGCCGGTCCAGGGCTCTGAGATAATGATGTCTCGGTCGCACCTGCATTCATTCTGGCATGATGATCCTGCAGATCCGGAGGCGAGGAAAAGCATTGAACATCCAACAGTTCTCAGGGGATCGTTAAAGCAACATATCAATGTGGCATGAATACCAGCTTTCTGTAGGTGCGCCAAGCTTTTGAGACGCGATTTGAGAACTTCGAAAATTTGGCAAAGACTGGCGACACCTTGCTCTTTGTGCGAGTGGTGGCCACGACAGCGGAGCTGGGAAGGGCTTACGAGCTCACCCAGGCCTGACAGTCTGAGCGTCGTGGAACATGCAGTGTGAAAACGCCATGTTCGGGGTTAGCATTGTCGCCAATTCTCATCAAGTAGTATTGAGGCTTTGGAACTGTGAGCATTGATTTGATCCTTTGGAACCTTTGGAATAAGGAATCAAAACATATCAAAGCAGTGTCAGTGCTAATGATATGTCTTCGCCCGGGACGCTTCAGGCCTTGTCCAAGAAGTTTGGTCCACAAGCAGCACTTCTGCCGCTCCAGTGCAAGAGAACCACATCTCCGTTGAACATTTTGCTTGAAGTCACCAACTGTGAGGTTGATTTGCGACTTCCAGAGCAAGGTAGGTCCAGTGATGGTGGACGCCTTCGATGACTTGATGGTCTACTTTCTTGAGGTCCGCTCGTTACCTTAGCTCCACTTCGCTCGAGTTCGCTCGTGAGGTCAACTGGTTGCAAGCTTTTTATGTTGATCGTCTCGTTGGGTCCCTGTGAGGCAGATGCACACAAAGATGTTGCACCCTACAGGAAGCCAATTTTAAGTGCCTTGGAATGGCTTTCAGGAAAGGAGCTCAGGAAGCTCGGAAGCAACAATTCAAGTGAGTGCTGATTTGCTCTCTTAAGCTTTTGTAAACATATGCAGTAACTACATCTGCAGTATATATAGTTTTATATTTATATATTATATATATATATTGTTGCGCATCAATGACTACTTGCGCCTGCGCTTCAAGGATGGACATTGTTCCAGATTTCAAGGCTGGCTGCCAACTGAGGGTGCAATTGGAAGATTGTGGTCGGTGTTGCCCAATATCAAGAAGCTGATGTTTCGATTTTGTGCATTCTTCAGGGCGTGCTGATTTGCCAACCTCAAACACCTAGCGCCTCTCTCAACTACGCCACAGGCTCTTCAAGCCTTGGCTTCTCCAAACTACTGGGGCCTCATGGGCTACGGTCAACCCAGCGATGTGTTTACTGTAACGGGTGGGCTTTTGAGAGCTGAGTTGGCAGTCAAACGCTCAGCTCTGAGCTGTTTGGGGTGTGTAACATACCTCTATATATGGTAAAAAGAAGGATCAATAGTACATCATAGTAACAGTACATTCTCATGACAGTGATCCACAGACCGACGGACCGACAACTCAGACACAGACCGACTTGTCTCAGACCGAAGCTGTGGATTCCTGCCAGGTGGATTCCTTGCGTTGGAGGGCCTCACTGGCCCACCAGCCGAGATGGTGGAATGGACACCTGCACCTGAGGATCAGTGGCTGATGGATGCCAAGTTTGAGGCTGACAAGGACAGCAAGGGCGACGGACTCGCGCATGGACAGCAAGGGCGGGGCAATGTTTTTGGCACTGCAGGGCGGCAGCTTAAGACAGCCAAGCACTTGTGAGTAAGAGAATAGACATATTAAGGGATCTCATGGTTCTCGGCACCAGAGATGAACAGCTAAGCTTCGGTGCTTTGCGTTTTGGGTGCCATAATGTGAGATGAGCTACGTAGGACGCTATGGCGGTGGTGTCTCTTGGATACCATGAGTTCTTGGGCAAGGTGCTTCGAAGAAACCAATCATTTGGCCAACCTGACGACTTGAGTTTTTGAAGTTTAATTTTTTTCAATCATACACTAAAGATTAATACCGTCCCAAGTAGAAAGAAGGTCAGACGGCCAAGCTGCCGGTGCTTTCATCTTCCTCAGAGGCCTTGGAGTTGGCCAAGCTGCCGGTGGAAACCTCGCCCTTCGACGGAGCCTTCATCAACGGCGAAGGTAGAGATGGACGTTGAGATGACCAGTGAGACCTGTTTTTTGCGTAGTGTTTGTGCACGGTGACTGGACATTGGCTCAAAATTACACCAGCATAGACCCAGATAGCTAGGCAGAATCCCATGACCTGTTGACACGCGACTGGCCGGAACAAGAATGCACGCAGCCTGCAAATAGCCAGCTTGCGGCACCTCTACAGCGCGCGCAATCAGCTGACACCAGCACGCTTTGCCAGCTGACAACACCGGCAGCGGCGCCAGCACTCGACCAGCGCCGCCGCCTGTCTTAAACGCACGCTCAGCCAGCTGACAGCACCAGCACCCAGGACCACAACACCAGCACCAGCACCGACGCCCTTTCGAAAGCACGCGCAGCCAGCTCATTCTTAATTGCAGCAAGAACCCCATAGCTATCCCTATTTAGGGAATAACAACGTATGATCTTGCGCGTATAAGTTTATGCGCACAAAAGCTTGCGCGCAAACAGCAAAGCCCGTAAGTGTCATTGGCCCAAGGCCAAGTAGTATCCAGCGCCACTATTGACTTTGTAGCATGCTTGAAGTAACGATCTGCAGAACGATATGGCCGTATGATCTTGCGCGTAAAAGTTTATGCGCGCAAAAGTATGCGCACAAACGGCAAAGCCCGTAGGCTTCACTCGCCCAATGCCAAGCAGTATCCAGCACGACTATTGTGTGTATAGCACGCTGAAACATGCTGAAACAATGGCCGGTTGAAAACCTGACGTTGCACATAGAACATTATACGTACAAAAATATGCGCACAAACAGCAATCCTTGATACAGCTGTCGGCCAAAACGGAACCTGAAGAGTGTAACCACAGCGCTAATAGAGAAAGAACCCTCGCGATAACACCGTATGATGTTGCGTGCATAAGTTCATGCGGCCCATGACTGCTGGCACTTCATTGTCCGAAGCGGCGCTTGATCGCCCTTCACTGCTGCAAGCGGCAGTTTGTTACCCTTCACTGTCAGAAGCGGCGGTTGTTGTCACTTCACTGTCAGAAGCGGGCACCAGCACCAAGCACCGGCGCGCCAGCTCACGGCGCCCAGCACCAGCACCCAGCACCGGTATACCGGCACCCAGCATCTGGCACCACCACAGCCCGCACCAGCACCCGGCACCGGCACCCAGCACCGGCACTCTGTCTCGAAAGCGCGTGTAGCCAGCTCATTCGTAGCTGTCGCTATCCAGGCACCCAACACCCAGCAACCTGTCTCCACCACATGCACAGCCAGCTCACCAGCACCAGCACCGGCGCCCGCAGCCAGCACCAGCACCGGCACCGCACCCAGCACCGGCACCCGGCACCAGCACTAGCAACCTGTCTCCACCACGTCCACAGCCAGCTGACAGCACCAGCACCGGCACCCGGCACCCAGCAACCTGTCTCCATACCAGCATCAGCACCGGCACCCAGCTGCAGCAACCTGTCTGGAAAGCGCGCACGGGCAACTCATTGTTATTTGAAGTAAGAACCCCATAGCTTCGCTATCTGGGGAAAAATGACCTTTTCAGAGGTTGCAAACATTGCAGCGATCTCACCATTGAAAACGGGTCTTTGATTATTTATTACATTTGTCTAAACACATTCTTTTTTTCCAGTCTCGCAGCGTTATTTAGTGGAAAACACAATGGATTTCAGGCCCAAGTATTGTATGTTGTAAATCATTACCAGTCAAGTCACAGTTACGAAGAGCATGTACAAATTTTAGATAAGCGTAATCAAAGGACGGAACGAAGTGAAGCGAACTGGCAAAGTCCCTGAGGGGTGTTGAACTTCCTGCGGAACGATTTCACCGGCTACTTGGATGTCGCCAAGCCCCTGAGGATTGAAGGCAGTCCATACATGGTCCGACGGTCATGTCACTCGGAATGCAAGGATGTTGCCTCTTCCTTTTATTGAGAGCTTGGCCAACTTTCATTTGGATTGCACATGTCAGTGCCCCCGCTTTAGGCTACCACTCCTTCTGGGATATTGACCCCAATGCTCGGCTGCGACAAGCGGAGATGAACATCCGGAAGCTTGGCTGAATGACAACATATGCTGAATGAAATTGACACCGGACTTGACCCAACTGCTAGTAACAAGGGCATTACTGCTAGTAGCAAGAAGCTATTAGTAGCTGATTATATTGTGTCCCATTTAGCCAACCGGAGCGCGCAAAGCCCTGACATTTTTGTTTTGCAGGTCCTTTAGACACCTTCTTGGAAGCAATCGGGTCAAGCTCTTCGTGCGGGCTGTGGTGCACGGGCGGCATTGTCATAGGCAAATCTAAACTAGAGAGCAGATGCTGGCCATAAGCCCAGCCTTTTCGCATCCGTCCATTTTGGAGTATGAATTGACATGAAACAGTTCATGCTTACCTCAATCCACAGGCAAGAGGGGACGAATTGCCCTTGCTGGGCGTTGCTTGGCCAAACTCATTGGTTATTTGAGACGGGCAATAACTAAAAATCACGTAGATGGCACAAAGAACATGCCGCACAGAATGACATAGGTCCGTTTGTTGCACAAGTGACCAACCAATACACCGGAGGCCGACTTATTTTGCGAGTGACGTGCTCTCATGTACTCCCACCCCTGCATGCACACTGAGGAGATACACGAAGCTCTTTGCAAGCACTCGCAATCAGCACTGCTGCTTGCGATTGTTGGCGGTCAGGTCACTTGACCGCGCTCTTTCTTCTCAATCGCACAATTCCAAAACCAAAAGGCAGTACACTGCAACCTAGCCCTCCCCAGACGTCTTTGAATTATTGAAGACTTTGTTTCAACAGTTGGTGCGGCTACAGGAAAAGAAGACCCTGACGGTGGCCAGCAACTACAGTGTCTTGGTCCAGAGCCTTGCTTGCACATGCCATGTGGTTCTCCCAAGTTGAGTGTTTCGTGGCTTTAAGATGATTTGACAGTGCTTGAAAGGGCTTGATGGGTATGGTTTGATGATCTGACAGCTCGGAACCTGGTGTTGGCGAGGTTCATAGAGGAGGACCCGATCCAGACTGGTGTCCTGCAGAGCAACTCTGCAAAGATTTGGATCAACTTTTTCAGTTTCGTTGGCGTGACATCAAGATCCATTGCAGCTTGGTGCCAAGGCTACGCGGAGCCCGTGCGGAGCAGTCTTGACTGGGCCGTGGGGAAGGAGCTGAAGGCCTCCAAATGGACGCCGTGCAGCTCCAACACTGCTGTTGATGAAGCTATTAAAGCCGAGGGTTGGTTTCGAGGGTTGGTTTTGAGATGTGGGTATGGCTCACCCAGAGGTGTTGGTCTATGTTTTTGTATGTTTTTGTTTTTTTTGCTTTGCAAGGGGGGTATGGGATGGCACCGGATTTTGGAGCGTGCAACGCCGGACGTGGCAGGTGGGCGTGGTGCCGGACTTCGCTGCGCTGAAGGGCCTCTTGAGACCGCTGCCTCCCACTCCTCTCGTTGGCCCGGGGAACGTGCCACTCTTCGAGGAGTAGTAAGTAGTTTTGAGTGAGACAGAAAAAGCCCAGAAAGTAGGGACAGCTATACATCTTGAATTCATTGGTTGTCCAGTCCGCGTGTGACCTGCATCAGCTTCTTCCGGTAGATTTCTTGGATGGAGGAGAATCTGTCTACAACGGACGAATCGGGAGAAGGGTCTTTGTCGAGCTCGTCTTCACCGGGAGTTCATTTGGTCGCTTCGAATTTGAAGGCCGGAGAGTACAGAGGTTGAGATGCGGAGAGGACAGAGGTATAGGAGGCCACTGCTATATACTGCTATTAGGTTGGAGGATGTTGAAGGCCATTGCTTGTAGGTTGGAGGCCATTGCCTGTAGGTTGAGACGCGTTCAGCAGGTGAAAGTGCCTTCTCCCAGCAGGGGATATGCTGGGTTCAGATGAGCGAAACTAGTTTGCACCGTGGCTAGAGCCACGATCTGCTTCCTGGGTGATGGCTCTGTGGCACCATTTCAACACCCTAAACATTGATTCCATGAGGCTTTGCCAATGTTTGTATTAAATGCACGTCGAATTGGACCAACTCTGGTAAGTGCCACAGAATCAGAGAGCTTCCAAAAGAGTCGACTCGTGGCTTCGGCAAGCACAGGCAGAGCATAGGCAGACAGGTGTGCCTTTTTCGCTGTGACATGAGAGACTCTGGAAGTGGCCTCACACACGGACATCCTCATAGCCAGTTCCACTGAGTGATGCCCAGAAATCATTCTCCGCACCCGCGTCCCATGAACTCGGGCCTTGTCGCATGAGACGTGGTGTCTTGTAGGTCTTAGGACATCAAGGGCCTTGACTTGTGGAAAAAGATCAGTCCGGTCTGAGTCTGTCGGAATGAAGCTGATGAAAGTGACTTGCGGAATGCAACTTCAACGAGTCCAGGACTTGGATCTTTTCGGGCTTAAAGGATTGGCACCCAATTAGCATGCCAATCCGATCGGTGGCTCAAGCTAGCATACTGATCTCCGGTCTTGCGATGTGGATGCCGGGTAGCTTTGCAAGCACCTGCAATGGTCATTTCAAAGACAACTGCAAAGCAGGCACCCATAGCTCTTGATACATTAGAAGTTGGAAGTTGATGATGCAGTCTCGCCTAGATCAGATGAAATTGTTCGCGTGTCCATTTTGTGTGTGGTGGCATCAGATCACAGAGTTTGTCTCTTCAGACACACTGGACACTTGCATTAAATGATGGCAGACGCTGACTCGTCTTCTGCATTCCTTCACCTGTACGTAGTACGAATACATGGCATATTCGGCTGAGTTCAAGAGGTTTGACTGTTGACCATTTGAATTCGCATCTGATGCAAGGATGCCAAGGGCAAAGCGAAGGCCAAAGTTGCTGCCAAGGTAAAGTCTCGCAAATCAGGAGCCAAGTTCCGTTCAATAACACCTGACAGTGTCGGGAGGCCTGTAATTATAGTTGTGGCCATTAAGCAAACAGAAAACCAATAATAAGAAGCGCCCAAGCCCAATTTCCCGTACCATAGGTCTCCCATCATGATATGGCTTCGATTCAAACTCACTCAGAAGCTGATTATTTGGTACACAACATGTTCCAAACTACTTCCACCACCACGACCACCAGCACCAGCACCAGCACCACTACCACCACCACCACCACCACCACCAGCACCACCACCACCACCACCACCATCATTAATAGCAGATTCTCATAGATTCTCCTCGTTTTCTGCCCCTAGACTGGTGAAACAGACGATGCCGCAGAAGCACTCTAGGAGGAGCTTGAAGGAACATACCCACATTGACATATTCTATTTCAAAAGAAATGCCAAGGATAAAAGAGGTGACACGTATGTGAAACACTTGAACTGTATGTTTGCTAAGCAATCCGAGCCGTTCTTTTTTTTGGTATGAAAGGAACATTTCCAAAAGCTTGAAAACAGATGCTTAAGCTCGGTAACCCCCTCCACTGTCCTCTTCCAGATGAAAAAACCAGACAGACCTCAACCCACACCTTTTCAAAGCTTTCCTGTTGTAGCCAACAATGGCATGGCTCCCAATTCTGTGAAACCAAGCGATCTTGCAGTTTTCTCAGTTCTCTTTTTGAGCAAGGAGATGCGCCAGGGGGAGGGACCGTCATGAAGAAACCCGCAAGGCACTTAGACCGATGGTGTCACGAATCAGGAAGTGGAGCAGCCGTTTCTTTTGACTTGTGCTTCTGCTTTTTCGACTTTTTTCTTCAGGCCTTGCAAGCGCCGCGGATGCGCCATCGCCGAAAAGAACCTGATCCTGCCTTCGATGCTCCAGAAAGCAGTCCGAAAGAAGGGGACAGGCGTCGTAGTGCAGAAATCTCAACCTTGCTAAAGCTAGTGTTGCTTTTGAAAGGCCCTCAGAGAAACGTGGCAGAGGTGCCCCAGGTGCCCATGTTGGCATTTCGCAAGAAACACATCGGCGTGACGCGAGACATCGCACAATGCCAGTGGAGTCAGGCACCGCAGCAAGAAAAGCCAGGCACTTCATGCCACCAAGCCAGTGGAGTTTGTGACAGAGTCTTACATTCTTTGTTTCTTGATGCTTCGTTGCCTTTTTGATCCTTTTTGTGTGTTTCTTTGTGTTCGAGAGAATTTACTCAGCGGATGAAACCCATATGAAACCTGTTTCAATGGTTCAGTTTTGTTCTGGGCTTCTCTCCCACGCGATGTGAAGGTATATATCTTAAGCATTCTTAAGCAACACACACACACATTAGACATCACACGTTCTTTCACATGTTCCAACCAATCTCGTGAACCATTTCGACTCTAATCGGGGAGACTGGAGGCGCAAGAAAGATTCGCCTGAAAAGCCGGATGCGCCTGAGGAAGCGCCTGGAAGTGGCCCCCTGCTACAAGCCATTTCTCTTTTTTTGGACGTACTCAACGATGCCAAACAAACGCCTTTGTGTTTTTGGCAGTTTGGCAAGGGGAGACCCTTAGTCTTTCCGACGAAAGGGACTTGAAGCCGCTTCAAGGCCCGATTTGCCAAGGTGGCGAGAAAGAACAAGACGACTCTGACTTTAACTCCTCTGAATCTGGGCCGGAAAGGGAACCAGTGCAGCCCAAACGAACCAGTGCGTCTGGGTAGGCATTTGTAGTCCAGATGTGGGATGCACGATATGCTCAGGACCTGGATCCCGTGCTGTGGGCGGTGGGTGGTCAAGAGTTGGAGGAATCAGGCGACAGAGTCGGTACCAGTTCGCCGTCATGTTGGCGGTTGGTTCTCGATGAAGCAGCAGCTACTTGTACCAAGCTGGGGATAACACCAAATGGCATCAGCAGCTGTGAAGAGGCAAGATGGCTGAGCGCATGAACCTGCGTCGGGAGAACAAAAAAAAGAGGCTGAGGCTGGAGAGCGTCTGATTGTTGGCGCTCAAGTTTTCATCCACAAATGCAGAAGTTGTGCCTTGTGAGGAAACAACAAGGTCCAAAGAACGCTGTGCAAAGAGCACGGGAGAATTGCCAGGCATGAGTTTGCAAATGAATATGTGCAGAAGACGACCTTGTTCTGTTCGCACAATAGGAAAAGAACACACAGGTGTTGTCGTGCAGTGGATAATGTTAGTGATACTTGAGACCGATTTGGTTATATAATCCAAGAAAGTTCGCACTGGCATATGTTAGGCCACTCCCGAAGCACGTGCTTTGCTTGCTCGGGGTCAAGCCCAATACGCCGCTGGCGAGTTTGCTGATGCGATTGAAACAATGAAGGCTGCAGTCAGACACTCTGGCAAAGTTTAGTCAAGTCAATATTGTTGGTGCTTGCTACGTCTGGGAGAGAGAGAGAGAGGGGGAGCACAAGTATTTGTGATATTGAATTATATACGTGGTGCTAAGATGTTGCGAATGGCTTACGAGCCTCAAGGAGAGCAGCCTGGACTTGCAGACCCCTACCATGTTCTCCACTTGATATACAACGAGCTTGGTGACGGCAAGAAGGCACGATGTTGCCATCAGCAGGGCAAGGAAAAAGGAAGACCAATTCAGTGCAGAGAAACAGGACAATTGCAGATGCAGTCTTGTTCATTGTTGGTTCTGTTATCAAATGTTAAATGTTGTCAACGATTGACTTGTGCTTCTGTTTCTTCCGATCATCAAGTAACCGAAGACAACATTTGCTCATCCGAGGCCCTCGATGCTCTTCTTTTATCTGCATACTTTACTTCTCCACCCTCGGAGGCCCGGCACTGTAAATCTGTGCTTCACCCGAGGGTGCAACAGTGTTTGCTGAGGTCAAGTTCCAGGGGAGTAAGGGACACCCATGGAAACTGTATGCTATGTCAATGTAATGTATGTCACTTTCACTGGTGGGCAAATTGGCAGGCTCGTTGATGTATATGAGTCCATACATACAGAACATGCACATGTTCGTGTGAACAGCAAAATGATAGAACGGGTGCTTTGCCGTGCCCCACCAACATTTGAGAGCATTCTGGCACGCAAATGTCTACAGACATTTGGGGCGCATGGCAAAGCTAACCAGGCTCGCCACGTGTGGCGAAAGGTGGCGGACTTGTCCCTGCGTGTTGGACAAACAGATCAGGCTTGACTTTTGCTTCTCGAATGTGAAACATGAATTTGCGGACTTTGAATCAATCGACTTCCTGACTTGAAGAGAAACCCGGTGATGGCCGTTTTGTATGATCTCCTATGGTAGTCTTCCCTGCAGTGAATTCTGAGTGAAACTTGTCTAAAGCCTGAACCCTGGACCTTCGCAGGCATGCTACGCCTTCAAACGTTGCATTGCACCCCAAGGCCAAGTGCCGATTGATTTAGCTCACCCATATGGACTGAAGGAATTTAGATTTACAGCATGCAAATTATGTCAAATTGTAGTCTTTAATATCGCATGACATGAGAGGCTCTCGCACAGAGGATGACTGGAAGTCGCTGTGGCAGCTGTCCCAACTTCTTTTCAAAAAGGACAGCGGGAATTCGTGGAAGCTCCGATAAAACGACCGGAATTGGCAGAATCTCGAAAGGGAGGCACATCAGTTCTGGATCATTGCACACTTTGCAGAGCCTGATGAAACTCGGTGTGAGGAGCGGACGGACCGGGGCATCCAAGTCTTGTTCGAGCTCTATGAGGAAACACAAGAGCCAAAGCTGGCCTGCGAAGTGGCCAAAAAGCTCGTTCAAAGGCGATTCACCAAATCACCTGACCACTGACAATACTGACATATCCTGACCCCCGCTTTAGGTTGGAGGCCATCGCTATTGGGTTGGAGGCCATCGCTAGTAATGTTGGGTCTTAAGTAGTAAAACCCGTCCCCCCTCCTGGCAAACAATCAAGGGTATGAACAGAATCCCCGCCGCAAAAACCATTAGTAGTATTCGTAGCAGCAGCAGCAGGAGGAGGAGGAGTAGGAGGAGTAGTAGTAGTAGTAGTATTATTAGTAGTAGTCGTAGTAGTCGTAGTCGTAGTCGTAGTCGTAGTCGTCGTAGTAGTCGTCGTCGTAGTAGTAGTAATTAGTAGTAGTAATTAGTAGTCGTAGTCGTAGTGGTCGTAGTCGTAGTCGTAGTCGTGGTGGTAGTAGTAGTAGTAGTAGTAGTAGGAGTAGGAGTAGGAGTACTAGCAGTGGTAGTATTTGTAGTAGTAGAATAGTCAAGTAAGGACTTGAAAGGCAGCAATAGCAGAACAATAATAGAGTTAGTGTTTTTCCCTTAGGGCTCCAAGTTTGCTTATTAATCCCTCCCCTAAACAGTTGATATTATTCACTTCCCCTGGGCTGGTGTACTACCCCCTTGAAAAATTGTTTGGAGCGTTTTTGAAACTGATTTCCAGGTCAGAATTCCATGAAACAAGCAAACCTCAGAAGAGTTAAGTAAGGATTTGAAAGGGCAGCAATAGCAGAACAATAGGCAAGGAAACAAAACCACCCAAAAATACACTGGGTGAACAAGACTTTTTGTTATTCCCTCCCACCTGACTAATTAGGATCCGACATTAGGGTGGAGGCCATCGCTATTAGGTTGGAGGCCTTCGCTATTAAGTTGGCGGCCATTGCTATCACTGGCAGCCTAGACATTTCTCAACCCACTTCGGCCTGAGAGGGTGAGACAGGCTGTCGGATTAGAGAGAAGACGTCTATCTACTACCTAGTAGCGACATCAAGGGATTTGTGCTGCATGCATTTCGCTGGCCGCAGGCATCGGTGGAAGGAATGCTTAGCTTTGCTGGAGGCCTGCGTGGCCAGAGGTCGTCAGGCTGGAGCTTCTCTATTGGTTGCCCCAAATACAATTACTCACGTTTGGCTTGTCCAAGTGACTTCTAAGCTTCCATGGCCGAGAAGCCTTGGGCTCGAAGTTAGCTTGCATGGGACACAGTACGAGATCTCGTCCATGCCTTCCTGTCCAATCCTTTTTGGAGGGGCCCCAAATCCGTGTGGCTTTGGCCCAGAATCGTGGCACAACAGATGCATCATCTCGGACTGGATGATCGTTTCGTCAACATTCAGCACAGTAGGATTACGATGGATTACGCACTTAGCTTGTTTGAGGTTTATACTTCATGACAGGTCTCCTTCACTCGCCCCGTTTTACATCACTGGCTGGTTGCCATGGAAGCTCCAACTCAGCGGATTGAGGAGATTCTCCACTGGAAGCCCATCCAAGGGCTTCTCGGCGAGCTGTGATGAGCCGTGATGAGGTGTTGGGCTGTGATGAGCCGTTTTCGTGAGAGCTGAAGTGCTGGGTTTTGCACTCACTGGACTCTAGAGACTGTTGATTTCGAAGGACATGAACGAACCAAAGACACCATTTAAAGTATACAGTAGAATATAGTAGAATCCTCTTGGGGTTTTGTGGTCATATCTTCACTGTTTTGAACAAATGGGTGAAGGCGTGTTAGTACTGCCTCTTGGGTGACCCGGCATTCTATAGTAGTCTACAAGACGTCACAACCTGGTGACCATTATCTAGCAAGTGAAGACAAAGAAGCTGATGAAAGCTGATGGAAACTAAGGATCTATTATCCTCGCTTCTTCAAGGAATCAGCAATCCGGCGCCTGCAAAACTCATGGGAATGTAGAGAAGGCCAGCTTCTACACTGGCCTTGCTTGTGCACGCCCTCATTCCTTGGGGGTGGCCGCACATGCTTGGGGCTGTGGCTTTGAGCCAAGCATAAGCACTTGCCAGGCGATGTTTTCCTCGTCTCCAACTTCCCTGTTCGAGGTGCAGAAGCTGAGTTTCTGCTTGAAGCAACTTATATATATGTATATTTATATGTGGTCCTAGCCCTTGCTTTCATGTTCTTGAGCGTTCTGTCTCACAATTGACAATTCCAGGCTTGCAGCGCGTTTTGACCTGCATGGTTGAAGGCGCAAGTGGGTGCGTCCAACTAAGACATTAAATCTTGATCAGTTGAATTGGAGTTTGGAGGTCGCAACAATCCATGGGAGGATGGGCTGCTGGACAAGCCCTACTACTGCGAACTCTGGCCTGATGCCGTGAGTGTCAAAGCACCATGTGCACGTTATGCATTTGCTTGCCAAAACGTATCAAAACGCATAGGGAATGTGTTCCAATCCAGTGCAATTGGCAATGGCAGCATACACGCATTGCCACATGAACCGGTAGTGGCTCCAGGCCTGAGCGAAAAGATGGCCACGGACGCACTTTGGTGACCTTAAGTGGTGTGCAACTTTATACTCTAGTGACTCTAGTGTTACGTCTGGCTTTCATTCCGCGCTGCTTTGATTTCGGAGCACTGATCATCAAGTGGGGGTCACAAGAAAGCATCCAGAACCGCTTCATGCCATGTGCATTGCCATGCATTGCCCACCGATCTCTGCGGCGTTCAGAATGCGGGCTTTGGATAAGCCTTTGGCTCTTGCGTTGACTCTGGGGAGTTGTAGGTCGTGTTCCAAAGCGTAGGACCGGACATGTTTCTTGAGCTTGATTTGATTTTATGTATCGTGAGCAAGGTGAAGGCGCGTTTCTTCGTTGGATTTCCTCGTTTTTTGTTTGCCTTGGTCTCCTGCGTGGTTTGCTTTTCTACGAGTGCCACGGAGTAGGGCATCCTTGAGGCCAACGCCGGCTGCCTCAATAGCAGCAGGTATGACAGCAAGACACAGGGGCCAAGTTGGAGGGTGAGCATGTCACGGCAGCCCTGTCTCACAGCCATGCTTCTCAGGATGCAGCGGCCTCGAGACGTGGAGTGGACGCGTATTTGTCGGAAGCTGAAAGCTGGAAAGGCCGGCGCTGCTTCAAGACACATGCACCTCCGCACCTGTCCCGTGGCGGAGTCAAAAGGGGGAGCCAACATTCGAGCGTGGAGTAGAAAGGTCTAAAGACATGTAGAGTCAGACCAAGTATATGGTTAATATGAAACTTCGTTTGCGTTGACCTTGCTGGTCTACTTAGGTTTCCATGTCGCTATCCTTTTCCGGAAACCAGTGGGGATGGCACCTGGGCAGTATTGGAGGAGGTTTTTGAGTTGGTGTTTCTGCAGGTGTAGGCCAATGTCACGGCCTGGATGCTTTTGGTGTGTTGTTGTTGTTGTTGTTGGCCAAGTTGTTCAGGGTCTTGAGTGAGCCATTTGAATGTACACACGCACTTTCAAAACTTAATGCGTCAGATCTGCAACGTTTTCCTTGTCTCGCAGGCATCCCACCCAAAATCTTGGTCTTGGTTGCTGATCCGCGCTTAGTGTTTACCGTTTGGTGGCAAACACTTGGACAGTGTCTTGGATGCATCCAGCCCTGGTATCCTGGGAAGTCTGTAGCAGCAGGGTTTATCCAAACGGTCAACCAGTTCAACAGTTCTTGGATTTGTGCACAACATCCACATAGTTTCCGCAGAACCTCTGCATAACTTGTGCAGAAAATGCACTCGAACTCTAAGGATAGAACCGGAGGTTTCCCTTGATTTTGATCTTGGTGGGTTTCTCAGCCTAGTCGCAGATCAGGCCAGCCCACGTTGATTCCTTCAGAACTTTTTGTGAGCTAATTCCCAAACTCCATCCTATTTGATATCCAGGGCTGGAAGCTCTTCGGCAGCTACTTTGATCATGCAGTTGCGTGGGCGAAGGAGGCTGAGGAGCACCCAGAATCGGTGGCTTGAAGGCAAATATGATATAGCGTGTAGCAGTGTAGCACATGGTTGTCCTGACACTTCATCAGCTTCTTGTGCCCCGTGTCGGAAGCTCATTCAAAGCCCATGATACACTGCTTATATACATGAACCTAGAATGCTGTCAGAACAGCGCAGCCTGTGGCTTTAAGCCCTAGCAAAGGTCCGCTTGTGTGTGGTGGACAATCTAGGCGGGTACTTTGTTACACAGAGGGCGAGATGCTTCTGTGCGTCTGTTTCTTTGTGCATCGTGCCTTTTCAGTTGCCAAACGTAGAGACCCGCAATTGGCTCCCTTTGTCAGAGGCTCCCTCCTTCCAAAGGACGTGCAACATGAACTGCTCCTTGGACCACTTGGAGAGACAAACGCTTTTGCCTGCAATGCAGTTGCAAAATCAAACAAAAAAGCCAAGTCCTCTTTCGCCAGACAGCCATTGCCAGTAAAAACTGCTGGTTCATGAATTGGTTCCCTCTGTCGCTTAGCAAGCTTGCTGAGTTTCTACTCGGAGAGCGGAGCGTCCCGAGTGGTACGATCTGAGGTCCGAGATCGCAGAGTTCCTTTGCATCTCACAAGACGCTGTGGACACCTAGATGAAGCTGTCGATCGTCGTTTCGCCCGATACGGGAGAGAAAGTGAACTTGCACAAGAAACCTTTTGGGAGAGAGGGCAGGGCACAGATGCTTTAGTGATAGTGCCAGCTCAGCATGTCAGATAGGTCCCTGGGTAGCGCTTTGAATTGAAGACAGATGCATTGACACAATGACAGTCTTTGTCGTGCAGTTGTGCAGTTCGAAGACATGCTTCAGGACCATTTGGTGGAGGCGATCTTCCACAGACCTCCAGATGCTTGCAAGTCCTTGTCGAAGGACCAACCAAGGCTGTTGGAACTACTGGGTGGGATTGTGAAACTTCCAGTCATCGCATATCATCCCTGTAGAAAGGCTATACAAGCTGCAGAACACATATATCGATTATCTATTTGTTAGAAGTTAGAAGTGTCATCTCTCAAGCGTGGATGCCAGGACCAATTGGTGGACAATGCAGCACTGCAGGGTGGTCACATCGTTGAGAACACAGGCCAAAACCTTTACTCGCCCCGAGTCAGCATCACTTTCGCGATGTTTCTTCGATGTGGAAGCAACATGAAAGAACGTGCATCGGAGCAATCGAACCGATCAGTCATTTGAGTGAGACCAATTCACGTGACATACAGGGGTACTTGTGTCAAAGAAACTGTGTGCTGTGTGCATGTCACAATGTAGACACTACTTGCTCATGCTGATCATGCCCAACTTGAGGTTTCAGTCAGCGCTCGACTCCACAAATGGCCTCATACAAGAGATTTGGCGTGGGATGTCCCTCCGTGCACGGTTTTGATTGCTGTTTAACTCCCAAGCGACTCACATGATGCATTTTCACAAGATAATTAGGCACTGTTTGGAAAGCTCAGGTTCAAGCTCCTTCTCACGACCGAGAATTCCTGCCTGATAGAGATAGCTCATAAGGCACTGGACGCCAAGCATTTCCCACACCCTCAAGGCTGTAACATCCATGCGTAAACGCTTGAATGAAGTCCACTTACTTGTCTTTAGCTGGATTCATCGTAATTAGTGTTGGCATGATAGGTCCCGAGGCCATGGGTCATTGCCTCACCAGGCGCTGGGCGGCACAGCATCCTTGCCCCCCTTAGTCCAAAGCTAAGCCCGTTCGCCGTGCAACGAAGCGCTGTTCGCCGTCGCCGCGCTTCGTTGCCCGAATCTGCTCATTGAAACATCCATCCAGCAATGACAAGGCAGTGCCAGTGCCCACGTTGCTCTCAAAGCGATCCCCAGCGTTTGTTTAGCGACCATTCCAATCCACTCGAACGTATGAGAAACTGGGGCCCTCTTGAGATCTCCCGAGCCATTGTCAACTTGGTAGGTTTGTCATCCAACCTTCTTGGGTTCGCTAGGTCAAAACTGGTGCATTTCGTGGCGCAGCTGCGCATGATGCCGGCCTTTGCCGGCCTTGTGTTTTTAATCTTCGTGACTTGGCCTGAGCCAATGGAACGCAGTCTGGCCCCTTTTGCTCCGACCCTGTATATTTATCTTCTTTTCCTCCGAGTCACGGCTTCTAGAATCTTCTAAAAATCGCCGCTTCGAGCCATGTCACGCTGCTTTGTTCAGCTGATATTCTGATGGCCTGATGATGCCCTGATGGCCTCGCAAACTTGTTGGGTGCTCAGGTGGGATTTGCCGGGACTCCGCAGAAACCTGCCTCTATTGCCATGCCGACGGACACGAAAGGACGCCGCTGGCGCGGAAGTGAAAATCCGGAACATGCATGTGGCTGGTGAAGTTTTGGCATTGGATATGTTTAAATGATTAATTAAAAAACGCATCTATCCATTCTCACAGGACAAAGCGCGCCAGCCACAAGGTTCGGAAACAACGGCAACTCCAACGCCGAGCCTTGGGTCCAATGATCACTAGCCTTGGTCCGATTCGTCGGTTTCGGTCACGGTTTCCTGAAGAAATGGCATTGTCGATGGCATGAAATGAAAGCTACTAGGAGCAAGGGCATCGCTACTAGGAGCAAGGACGCTACTACGTAGGGGCTTGTGGCCCTACTACCAGTAGCAAGAAGCTACTAGGAGCAAGGGCGACATTGTCAAGGACGACTTCTCCAGTGTTTCAAGATGGTTTATTTGACAATCAGGACGCGTGGTTTGGCAAAGGGGACGTTTCCAACGCAGCGGGATTTCGAGGTATGCGAACTCCATCGCCTGACCGGTTCTGACTGAGCGCTGAGGGCCTTGGTCGTTTTCTCCGCCAAGCGGAGCGTCCAACGGTTGGTTTCGATCGAGTTGCGGCGATCCTTGAATGGATGAGGCTTGCGGTTTACTGATGTTTTGTCCGCGACCAAACAAGAGTCGTTCCCAGTCATTTCTAACCTATTTCTAGCTGTCATTGAGTCTCGGCCCGTTCGCAGTAGTTGCCATAGACGTGTTGTAGATTAACTAAGGATAACTAAGGCTATGCTATACTATACTAGACTATACTATACTGCTAAAGATTGTTTGTTTAGATGCCCTGCAGCTTGATGCTTCCTATCCTGTACAAAGATGATGCAGCTGATGCAGCTGAATGCGGGTTCTTTCATACCCCGTTCATTGATCAGCTTAGGCCCATAGTTTTTGGCACAGCTCTTGTGTCCCATGGGAACCATGGTCATAAGAGCTGTGCGTTTACGGTATAACACCTAGGACAGAAGCCCTGCGTGTGGAAAGAAGAGAAGAAGAGGATTGTGCTTTGGCGTTCTCACACTCAACACTGTCACAAGAGCTTCCCTGAGTGTCATATGTCAAAAAGCTGCACCCCGTTCAACACCCATGACCCGTGCAGGCTGACCCACCTCGCATAGATCTCAACATCTTAAACATCCTGGCAGAGGCGACCACGCGGTTCCACAATTGTGCAGCGGAGCTTGTTGTTCCGGTTTTATACTTGTCTCGTCCGTGTTCTTTGTTTTTGCATGTGGTGTGGGTGGCAGTGCCGCCTGTAAAGATCTATAAAGGCCTTTCTTTGCTTAGACTCAGACAAGCTTAGACTACTTCTCAAAGGCTCAGTTTTGATCGGAGTAGACGTGACCTAATCTTAGTTGTTTCAAGTGTTTTCTATTTTTTCAAGAGCTTTATCCTTGCTACTGTTGTAAGTTAATGCTTTGATGGCGACAGTTGTGCTGGACCTACTTCACAAACAGGTTCTGATGGAGCTGCGGGACTTTGAAAAGCCGGGCACGCAGGGTTTCTCCTGCAGGAAACACGGAAACACGCGTTCTTTCCGTCGCCGAATGACGTGACGGTCAACGTTGAGTCTGTGAAATAGATACAGAAGAGATCAGAAGGGTCAGAAGCTTGTTTGAGACTAGTAACAAGTGCATCGCTGCTAGTAACAAGTGCCTTACTACTAGTAACAAGAAGCGAACGTAGAAACAAGAAGCTACTATAAGCTACTAGTAACTGCTGTGTTTTTGAGAGATCCTCGTTTGTGAGATGAGATGCAAGGTGCGCGACGCTTTTGAAGGAGCTGCTGCACCTGACTCCGCAGGGAGGTGCACAAGGTGTCTTCCAGAATACGGAGTTCAATCAATGAAGCTACTACTAGCACAGAATACGATGTTTCATTGTTTCATTTGTTAGTTTTCAATGGAACCCATTTTGCATTTGTCAGGGACATCCGATGATGTTGAAAGCACTGCTCTCGCGCTGATTCCAGAACACGACACAGAGGCACCTGCTACTCGTACTGTAGGCACAAGTTAGCAGATGCCATGTGTGAAATTGCGGGGCGGGGGCAACCTTTAATTGGTGTTCAGTTCTCAGATTTGTTTGGCCTCCAGGAGCAAGGACGCTATTAGTAGCCCCTAAAGCTACTAGAAACAAAGGGCGCCGCTACTAATTAGGAGCAAGGACCCTACATGACCGAAGAGCGCCGCCTTGGAGGCCTTGATGAAGAGGTTGCACAACAGCCCTGTCGATCTTGTTGCCAAGTTGGGAGCCGCTTTGTGTCAAATCCCGTGCCGCACACAGACCTGGCAAGCCAAAAAGACTGGCAAGGCAAGACCTTGTTTCCTTGAGTTTGGCGATCCTTGCCCAGGACAGCAACGGAGGGCGACGATCCATGCTGCAAATGTGCGATTGAGGCAAAACCTAGCCACAAAGGTAAGCAATGCATTCTTATTCGCGCCAGGTGGTATTGTCACACTCAGCCGAGTCGCACCATGATTTGTACCTGGTTTTGGTTGATGTCGCTTGGCAAATCAATGCGAGTCATTCTCTTGTCCTCCGCAACATGTTACACATACTCATGTTACAGGATGGCGGTAACACACCTAGCAATACAATGAAACAAACAATGTATATATATATATAGACATATGATGACATATGTTCCTTTTCGGCCACATACAAGCAACAAGGCAATGCTTGCAGATGCCAGTACTACTGCTGACACGGTGAGCCAGCGGTGGCGGCAGCGTGCACATGTCGCAGACCCAGCAAGCCTTTGCTGTAACTTTAAGAGGACAATGACGAAAATCCCAATTGGTGTGTCCTTCCTGTGACATGGATAGCCCCCCAATATTGAACACTTCAATTTTCAGACTTATTGCAAACAACGGGACAACATCTGCAAACGACTCACATTGACAGGAAGAGCATCCTCAACACTGTCTTCATTCCCTTTTCCCTGAATCAAGGTCCGGCCTTGGTTTGCTGAACAAGCTAGCCGCCTTCTGGACCAGTGGGAAGCTGAGTCACAGACGCACTTGCCAGTTAGTTTCATAGATGCATCAATATCAAAACATCACGTTTATGAAGGAACTACTGGACAAGTCATGCTGTTTGAAGGGGAGTTGGAAGGTTTCGATATTCAATAGGTTTCGTATCGAGGCTTGAATCCTGTTCTGGCATTGAAGAAGACCTGCGTGAGCGAAAGGCCATGTGCAACTGGCGGCTGGGCAAGGCAGGACAGCACAACAGTCCAAGCAGCGGCCCACGTGTTCAGCCCCGTGTCCATTCATCTCCCTGTCTCATCCTTTTCCTCTGATATGATCCGTACGCGAATGCGAAACAGAAGCCGACCTAACTCCTCACTTTTGAAGGTGGAAGAGGCGGCGATTCAATTGGAAGAGCTACTGGAGGAGAGAATTCTAACTCTTTGGTTTGTGAAAAGAGATGCCAAGTTCCGAACTGGCCGTGAACACATGTGATGAAAGCAGGCGTATCACGTACAGTACCAAGTATTCTAGTATAATCAATTCTGAAAGTTAGATTATGTAGGGGATCATCAGAAACTGCTGGATGTGTGACACGAATCCCGACCGTGCGCTGTCTGGAAGTATACATGTCTGGCCAGTTCAGAGCCGGGGAATGCACGGTTCATGCGCCAGGATCCTGGAGATCGCACCGAAGTTGACCTGAGAAATCTCAGGCACAGATCTGGAAACTGGTTGAAGTGGGACGTGTTTATATTAACGACAAGTCCTTGGCACCAATCGATTGCGAATCAGCATTGCACAATACTGCACGAGTCCATATTGGTCTATATGTGCTTAAGTCATCTTAAGTCTACGTGATACATCTGTCGTCACCGGTCCTCGTTCACATGATAGATTGAGTGACGGGTCCTCGTTCGCGTTTGCGCTGCTGGACGTGCTCAGGGTGCGTGCAGCCGAAGCTTGGATCGTACCCCTGCCGATGCTTCCCCTGCCGATGCAGCTGATCGTCGCACAGCTGTTTCATCATGTTTCATCTACCATGCCCAAACTAGGGAGGTTGAGAGTAGAAAACAGCGATGAGCTCACTTACTTTTGAGAAAAAAAGAGAAGCCTGGAGTCCCAGGTGACGTCCTCACGTATCCTCAAAGCCTTTTTGGGGGGACCTCTTCGCCGGTGCCAGGAACTGGGCTGCGCCGAACGAGCGGACCAAGTTTTGAGCACCCTAACTTACGAGGCACAACCCCTTTGCTACGTTCGTAGCTTCTTGTTACTAGTAGCGATGGCCTCCACCCAATAGCGTCCTTGCTACACTCTTGCTTCAATTTATTACAATTTGTTACCTTTCCTATGGACTCTCCATCCCGCAAAACATGAAATTGCTTGTACCTTTGCAAGACTTCTCCAGGATAAGTGCGTTTCATCCGTCCTGAGTCATGCACGATCTTTTGAGACAGCCACTATTTGTACAGGAACTGCAACGTAGCCATGTTCTTCCACCAGCCATGAGTGCCGCTGAGAGAAAGAATATCTACAAGGAGCTTGTCCACCTGCTTGTCTTCGGTACATTTTTGCATCAATCAGGTTCAACAGGAATGATTGAGCATTGTTCTGAATGTACTCGAAAGTATGACCCAGCCTAGTTTTCATTGTGAAGTGAAACTTCTCTTTCTGTTGTCATCGTCGTTCCTTCAAGCCAAGAGCATTACATCTGGCGATAATTGCATTGAAGCGATGTGAGACGTCGTCAAGGAGTTAACCCAGATCATTGATGCAACAATGAACAGGGCAATGGCCGCCAACGACAAGGCTTGGATCCTCAACAAAGGGTTTTATGGTATTCCTGTGTTGGATCAAAAGTGATTGGAAGACCTGACAGGAACACGTTCATCACTATGTTGGCAGTTTGGAGGACCTGGGTGGGACGAGTTCACCGATCTGCACCGACTGCAGCGACACTCAGGAGCTGAAAGCGTTCATTGGCAAGTTCCGTCATTTGGTGTTCGAACCTCAGAGCCTCAAGCATCTTGGCATCTGGGGATCGTCGTGCTTCAAATACATTTACTTTATTATATATATATGTTTTAAAAGACAATGGCCTTCAAGGGCAAACGACAACTTAAACATTTGCACCTTCAACTCCAAGGTGTCAACGTGCATACCTGTCCATTCAAGGAAACCAACAATTTCCAAATTCACCCAGACAAGTAGCCGAAAGAACCACCAAGTACATTTTTTTCTTTTCGAGGTATGACTGTGAGCTGGACTACAAACGACTCTCAGCGCATTCGGCCAACCTGAAAGACACACAGAACACGGCTGCGGCTCCTGTCCTTGCTTTGGAGGAGCTGAGATCTTGTGATCCACAGTCGGGACTGCTTTGGCCAGGGAATGGGATTGTGGAGGTTCGCAGTCTGGGATGGTTCAGTGCTAGGCCAGTTTGTGGGAATTCCAATTCTTGCTTTGACTATATAACCAGCAATATATAGAAACCACAATTGCTGGTCCACTCCGTTCCCAATCCACGCAGCTTCTCTGCTGTGCCATGAACCGCGGTTCCGAACGCTTCATCAGGACGCGGCCGAGGAGGCGAAAGAGGCGAAAGAGGCGTTGGACCGAAGGGAGATGTGATGCAGATGCGCCTAGTAGCGTCCTTGCTCCTGCCTCCAGGCTGAAACAGATGCAGATGGATCAGCCAAAAAGAAGCTGAAGAAAGGCACCGAAAGCACAGCCGAAGCGGCTTCAGATGCTACAGGCGTGCTGTTGGAGCTAGTCATAGTGTTGACTGAAGGTTCCCTTGTCATTGTCACAGGTTCTGATGCTCTTGCCTTGGTCGTCAAGCCAAACAAGGTGCAAACCACATGGCCCTTTGAAAACTGAACAACTGGTGTGGGTCCATCATCGACCACCGCAGGCAGCACCGCAGAAGACTCAAGTACTTGATGAATCGGGGCAGGCAAGCTTCTTGTTCCTAGTAGCGATGCCAGGAGCCCCTAGTAGCGTCCTTGCTCCTAGTAGTAAGGCCAGGAGCCCCTACAGTAGTAGCTCGGTCTTTGAGAAATTGATCTTAATTCGATGCGCTAGCTGCCTTAGGCCTTCACCAGCTATCGGTGGAAGCGGAAGCATCTCGGCCTCGATTCCATCGAGGATATGTTGGAACCTCAAGGTACAAAGAATCGCTTCTCTCCTATGGAAGGATAGTCGAACAAAGGTTTTGCGAAATGGACTCTAAACAGCTTTGCCAAGGTTTGGCTTCGAAGCTTACTTGGAGCTGGTGAAGTTGGGTGTGGAAATCATCCGCAAAGCTCTCAGAACCTGAGATGTTGAACCTGTGGAGATTACGCTCAGTGCAGCGTGCTGCCCAACTTTTGTGATTGGACCATGGAAGAACTATGGCCAAAGTATCTTGTGCACCTCAAGCGAAAATTGCAGAGGCTCAAAAGCATTCATGTAACATATAAATACGCATGAATAATATCCAAAAATAGCCGTGTAACAAATCAGATCTACAGTAAGGGGAAGTAAGGCCTCCTGATTAACTTAAAGCCCTTACTAAATAGAGGACTCCAGGACCAAGCTGAAGGATGGCCTTGGGTAGCATCCCAGGGCTGCAGGCGCATTCTCTATAAAGTCCACTTCTCAACTAGAAGGGCTCGATAGTGCACCCATCACGGAAACGATCGTAGTTAGGATAGTTAGGGTGCGAGGGATAGTCAAGCATGTCGCATGTTAAGGGCTATAGTTATATATAATTGGACCTCATTGAAACCCTGTGCTAAAACTCCGATCTCCCAATTGCAGGAGCAGTAGCAGCTAAATCTTGACTGACGGTGGATGAGTTCGCCACAAAAAACCATCGGCTTCAGGTAGCTATTCTGCTTCAGCGAAGACCTCCCAGTCACGCGAAGGCATCATCCAGGCTGCACGAGCTGAGGGCTGAGGGGATCTGACGCGTCGTGGGGTGGATCAGTTGGCCAGTATCACAGAATTGCAGAGCGATCAAGTCCACGCTGTGAATTATTTTGGGCTGTTGATCTGAAGAGAAGACACTGGAAGAGAAGCACCACCAGAGTCTTGAGATCAAACGGGTTCCAAGAAGAACCGCACCATCCCCAGCCCCACCAGCCCCCACCAGCACCGGGAACACCAAACAGCTTCTTCCAAGGCTGTGGAGCTCTGCGAGATGATCATTACCAACCGGAGGCTGGTCTCCGTGCGGAACCCCGTCTGGCTCCAAGGACCAGCACATGAGTGGCTCCAATCGCCATGTCTTGACTTTTGAGAAGCCGTGTCAGGTTGAAAGCAGTGTGCAATGAAATGAACTTCCAACTTGGAAAACACCTTGAGGTCAAGCGTCGACTCGTGCGAGACCTTGCCATGACATCGCTTTGCACAGGCCATCGTGTCCATTCACCCCTAAGACCTTAATAAGGTTGTAGTAGTAATCTAGTGGAAGCTCATTGGGCCCAATGGGTGCCCTGACTTGGGGGAGGGGCGCCATGGGGTGCCTGTAGCCACTTTAGCCCCTTCTTTTGTGCAGCGTACTTCCATGGGACCAAACACCAAGAACATTAAAGTCGCGATACCCTTTGCTCCTAGTAGCTTCTTGCTCCTAGTAGTAAGGCCAGGAGCCCCTAGTAGCGTCCTTGCTGCATTAAAGAATGCTCTCTTTCACTCCCAGGCGTTGACGCCCGATTGTGGAAGGCCCAAACATCACGGGAGCGGCGGTAGGATTTTGAGATGGAGTTCGAGCCTTCAAGGCATTCTTGTTTTTACTACTAAGGCTAAGACTCCTAGCAGGGGTAGGATGCGAGATGATCTTCAAGGCTTTGGCCATGTGGCCGAGGGGATGACACAATCCCAACAGTCAGGGTTCATGGCTTTTCATGATCCTACAGGTTCTAAAAGCAGTCCCAGGGACCACAGACGCGATAGACACGCTTCAGAAACTCTGTGTTCAGTGAAGGTGGTCTTCAAGCACCTGAGACTGCTCTGTGATAGCAACGACAGTGATCACTTGTTGGCCTTGTTCAGTCGGATCCTGCAGGGAGCCCCAGAGGTCAACTTTAAGAGAAGATGGCCGCAGGTCGAAGCGAGTCATCCACAGGTCGCAACGAGTCGCTACATATCAAGGATAAAAACATGAAGGAGACCAAGAGATCGAAGTTCACCTGTCAAGCAGCTTTGGAATATTTTGGAAAGCAGCGCTCGCCACCGTACTGATTCGCGCACTGTCAGGTTCACCCATGCAGATGTTGAAGGTCTGAGCGCCAGCCCTGCTCAGGACATTGAGCTCAGCTAAGCTTGATGCAGTCTGTTCGGCAGGGTTAGATGAATTTGAGGGCAGGACACCATGATACACCATGAAGCTACACATCACATCACCCTCTAGCATTTCAGGTTGTCAGGAGATATTCCGAGAATCAAACTAATTCAATCCAATCAACTTACAGTATATTAAATTCAGTTTATCTGGCTAGCCCATCAACTCCACCGGACTTGCACCTGCTTCCTCGATCGACTCCAAGTCAGTTTTCAGGAGCGTGCAGATGCTGCACCCTGGGATCACCAGAAAACCGGATTCTCAGCATCTGGGCATAGCAGCCCTGCCTGGTTTTGGATTTTAATTTTGCTCTTTCTGAAGTGCTGTTTTTAACAAGCAGTTTTTTGGACGCAAAGATATGAAGAGAGACTTGTTCGTGCCAGTACTGCAGTGAGATGAGACTTGCAGGGAACACCTATGCAGCTGCCTTCACGGACGTACGTGGCTGGGCTTTGCGAAGGCTCTTGAGAAGGTTGGGATCTTCTTTTCATTTCTTTTCTTTTCTCTTAGGTTGGAGGCCATCGCTAGTAAGTTGGAGGCGATCGCTATTGGGTTGTTTGCTTTTAAGCCTGAAAGGGGGTAGTCCACGAGGTAGCGAGTGGTAAGAGGTAGCTACTAGCTAGGACGCAGGAAAGGGGTGGAGCTTCCTTGAAGCAGCGCTCGCACTATTCATGTGGTTCCAGATTATTAGGGAAACTTAGAAGAAGTTGTACTGTACAATAGTTGAAACGTGTGAACAAAAACACAGCGGGTGCGACAAGACTCTTCTTTCATAGACTAAAGATTCAAGACTCGCAAGGCCACGAGACTTCGGCCTGACTCTCCTTTGCGCACACTTTTGCATCATTGCCTCGCAGTGCTTCGGTGGAAAGAGGAAACTTTATGGAATTTATTATGATTGATCATTAGAAATAGATCTGTGTGTGCTTTTCTTTTTCTTTTAACTCGAGCCGGGTTTGGGTAGTTGTGTGTCTGTGATTTCCCCCCATGACATCTATCAATAAGTATATAATTACACGATATTACACATATATATATATATACACTACTTTCTGCAAGACTTGAGATGGTCTCGCAAAGCCTCATTTAAGCTCAGCTTGACGCCTTGGATCTCAGGTATCCCTATGCGGTTGCAGAGTACTCGCGTGCCCATCGTTTGGCTCCCTTTGTATCCACCTTAGCCGAAGAGCTATCATCGTTCGCCGCTGCACTCAGCGGGCAAAGAAATGATCCAATTCCGCACCGCGGAGGAACCACTGCCTGCCCTTTGTACGGCTACGGCGCTTTGCTCAGAAGAGACGGTGAATGGTAAGGGTGAAAAGCTCATTTACAGAGACTTAGCACCCGCGAAGACGGATTAAACAGTGGCAGTGTAGGGAGTAAAGAACAACTTTGTTAGGATTAACCACATCCGTTCTGGCTTCAAGAGGCTTACATCTCCTTCTCCATGTCTCGTGCTGCGGTGTGGCGTTGGGAGCTCGTTTGGGCCAAGCAGTTGGCCAGCATTCAGGGGTAATACTTCTAGTGAGAAGCATCGAGAATAGTCTGATCACATCGGATCAACAGAGCTGCTCAGGATGCTCAGCATCATGGAATCATGTGACATTTCAGCCAAAGTCAAGGCCACGACCTGGTGCTGAAAGGACTCACCTTCCTACAACGTTATCGGCGGCTCCGCCTGCGTAGGGCAGGCGACGATGGGGTGTGCCTGTTTTTGTTTTTGGTCTGGGATACACGGCGAGCCTAGCCAGGCTAGATGTAGCTGGGGAGTCTACCATGTCCCACTGTCACTTGCAACAAATGTTAGAGAGAAAGCTGCCATTAGGACAGGTGCAAAGTGTTAACTGTACAGATTGTGCTGTGCAATGTCCTGTGACTGCAGGTCTTGTACTTGCACATGAGAAGGATGAGGACTTGTTCTCAACTCGACTCTCCCTTAAATTAAATCTGTGCGTGTGTGTTTGTGCACATGTGACCTATACGGCATCCTGTTTTCCAGCAGGCAGCGTCACCTATGCATCAAGAGTCCACTCACGTCCAAACGAGTCCGTGTCCATGCAATATTTTGCTCGTTTCATACTCTTTAAAGGTGACGAGATCATAAACAGTGTATGCATATATAATTATGTACATATATATATATATACAGGGTTTGTCCTATTTCCTGTAACAGTCAGTAAACAATGATCACTAATTTAGAAAAAGGAGTTTGCCATCACCATCATCATCATCATCATCCTCGTCATCATCATCATCATCATCATCATCATCATCATCATCATCATCATCATCATCATCCACTGTTACTGGTATATAATAGGATCTAGATCCAATATATATATATAGATACACAAACAATATATATAAATAGGTCTATCCGCACATGCCTATGAAAACCTATCCGTAGATTTGAACGATGGGTTGACTGGTAAAGCCCGGGCTGACTTAGTCGTCGTGTGTGCAGGACTGGGTCGACTCCTGGGGTGGCTTGCCGCCGGAGAATCTTGGCCATAGAGATCCACAGAGTAGCTTTTGCATTGTCCAAGTGTGCCGCTGCTCAATTGATTTCTAGTTTTATGTAGTGTATGCCTTTTTAAAACTGGTGTTCAATGCGAGAGTCCATGCGAAGTGGGTAAAATTGGCTTGGGATGCATTGGCATTGTTCCTTCAATTCTTATGTCGGACACAACCGTACTTCATAAGATTCTATCAGATACTGTGTACAATAAGAGATGTCCTGAGGCGCCAGCCATGGGAAGAGAATGTGCTGACCGATCCGTGAAACTGCCTTTCTTTCAACATCGATCCTCCATGTTCATCCACTTTCCAGTGCCAACGGTACGGCGCCAAACCGGCCAGGATGGACCATTTGGCGATTCGCGCAGAAGTGGCCTACAATTATGGTCGGGTGCCCAAGCGCCATCGGTCCGGTTGACCCGAGATGTCGTCTTCACGGAGTTTTTAGGTCGAGCCTTTCACCAGTTGAGTATGTCCACATTTGCGGTGGAGGCTCAACGATGAAACAGGGAAAGCAAGAGAGAAGCTTACACATGAAGACTTTTCCAAGTCGAATCAGTCGAATCATAGCTTTGCGACCAGGCCTATGAGGCCGCTCTGAGCTGCTTTGAAGGCGCCCAAGCTGAGCCTTTTATTCACTATTGACCTGCGGGATGCTTTGTTTTCGTGAGGCCTTTCTCCGCCCGAGAGCCAGAGGCACGAAGCGCGAGAAGTCGGAGACGTCGAGTGATGCCGAGACGTCTGAGACGTCGAGGACAGATTTGCTGGTGATCCGCCGTTCTACAGCCTGGAATCTGGCTTACCTTTACAAGGACAGGAGATCTGATTGGAGCAACAAGTTCAATGTAAGAGTTGCGACGCTATAACATGCGGAAGACGTGCAAAATAGCCGGCGTTCGGTCTTGCTTCAATCTGTGCCTGCGCTTTGAGACGGTCGATGGTCCTGTGCTGTCGTATGCACCTGTCAACTTGCATTGGCTCAGGCGCAAGGAACGATGGAAATGGCTGCAGATGTACTATGGCGTCATGTAGTTTGGTGAGAACACCGTACTTCTTGACGCCGCGGTCTTCAACCTTCGACTCCAGGCAGCGGGTTGGTGGCTCGGGATTCATGCACCTCACAGAGGCGTTTGGGCGTTTGATGAAGAAATTGCTCTAAACAATCCCATTAGTTCTTCAACACTGGTTGCCTCAATCAATCTGGAATTGATGTTTGTTGAAGACTTTGAACTTTTCCCTGCCGTGCCAGGTGAATGAAAGAAGAAAGACAAGGATCTTGATGGCTCCAAGGTGAAGGGCAAGGTCTGACCGAAGGCCCAGGACGTATAGCACAGATCTTTGGAGCTTCGCACTGGGCTTCTCCGAGACGAAGCTGCTGGCAATGCGACCGAAGAAGGTTCACCAGGAGTCCTGAAAAAGGATGACGTGATGGCAGCACTTCGAAGAGAAAGATTGCTTGACAAAGTCTTTGCGGCATGACAGAGAGTGACTCCCTGAAGGTTGAGCATAAACATAGCCTGATGCAAGTCTAGAAGTCTATGCATTTCCGGAAGATTCTAGAAGTATCTAGAAGTATTCACAAGCAATCTATGGCAGTCTATGGCCAGCGGGGAAGACCGACCGCTCCTTTGCATTCCATGTTCTCAGTTTGTTGTAGTCCTTTGCTGAAGACCTGGACCTTGCCCCTTTATGGGCTCAAGCAACAAATGGATATAGATCAGGTGGAGGCAGGGCCTCCAGTTTGGAGTTGTGAGATGTCTTGAAGACTTCGGGCCAGGAACATGAAGCGGCACAACGACGGTCGGCTGGACGGTCGGCTCCACGGTTTTTCGACGACGGAGCTGTTCGTTCGACGTGATCGGCTCCACCTGAGGCCGGGGTCCACCGCCCAAACGTGGCCGTGGTCCCGTGAGTGCAGGGACTTGTGCCTTCAAGGTGGGGATCCAGAGGGTGCCAACGATTCGACGGACATGTCGCTTATGTTGCTTGATGCAACTGCCAAAACCAGTGTAACAATCATGACGATTAATTCATGTAAGATGCCGCATGCCTTAACACGTTAACACTCAGTCGCGAAAGAGTGGCGGCAGATTTTGCGAACATTTAAAGGGGCTCCTTGAACAGCGCTCGTGTGTTCATGTTTTCCTTCTTTGTTTTTTGCCTTGCATAGCCAAGTTTACAGAGTTTACAGTAGACAGAAGTAATCTTTCAACAAAAACGCATCTCATGAACTTCCCCACAAGCTGCCGACGTTCCTCTACATAAAATGACTTGGATCATGAGGCTGCATGAGGCTTTGCTTTGCATCACTCGGAGGGTTTCCAAAGCCCAATTTCCAATCATTGAAGATGGAACGCTCAGGTGCTTTGTCCTGACCAGCTGGTTTCGGGCGTTTTGGGTCCCAATGGTCAGTCAGCCAGGGGCTCAGACTGGAGACCACCAAGGGCGACCAGGGAAGGATGCGCAGCAAAAACGTGAGGAGTCAAGGTCGGGGAGTAGGAGCAGGAACCAACTTAAACCGGGAAACAGGAAGAGCGGAGTACAATGTGGGAGTGCAAAATAGGACATCAACAAAAACAATGGCTGAAACGGTCATGCACGGTGTCCAAGTGGGAGACAGGAATTATTTCTGAAAGGGGAAACCGGGGAGACAAGTGGGAGGACAGGCATTGCACGTTTGGAGCGGGGAAACCACCGTTGCATGGAACACGTGCACAAAATTCCGGTGAAACGACTCAACAATACAGTTGGGGACATGCACCAAAAGAAGCGTGCACAAAAGAAGCGGGCAGCTTTTGGGCCTTGATGTGAGATCTCAGGTCAGACAGATACAAGATTCCTCAGGCTGGCAAGATTGTGAGGGTTGTTATCAGCTATGGTATGTTCTGGTCCCAACATCACCTTTTCTTCCAATTCCTTTAAAGATGTTGAAGTGTCTCACAGACAAACATTAGTGTCTCTAAGCCTATTTAGAGAAGCAAAGCCACACTTTCATCATTTTGGGAACATTGTGGAAAGTCAGTCTCTGCATGTATCGAGTTGTCGTTGTGGTCAATTCCCCCAACAGTAATGTTTAGCTTGTGGGTTTGAAGTGCACAAACCGCATTCTCCTATATTCTTCTTATGGCATTGTGCAGTCGACAGACCGGAGGTTTCTTTCTGGTTCTGCTGACACCACCATGGATGTGGTAAGTACTAAGTTGACCTCTTGCGGCACCTGTGTTTCTGGCTTGAAGCAGGTTTAGGGGCATTTGGTGCCGGTTGGTAGGTCAAAAAAGCGCATCACAAAAGGCATGCGACATCATACAATATCATATTTTCTGTCATGAAACATGTACTGAGTTTTCTCAAGTCTACCAACTATGACCACAAAGTCAACCGGTTGGAGAAAATTTCAAATCTGATGACTTCTTTGACTGTTGGCATGTGGGCAGTACTTGTATGGCACATTGAGCCCTCGGGCTAGCTAGTCTAAGTGAGGAAGAGCGGTAGCCTTCAGGCTGTCACTGCAACTTCTCTCGGCGCAATGAGTCTGCCACCCAGGAACTGAGCACGCTCCATTTTTGGGTGGTTCAACCTATTTTTGCACTTCAATCGGGGCCTGCTTTGAAGGGACACATGAATACTCCTGGCCCATAGTAGAAGCATGTAGAAGTATCTCCGGGCAATCATATCAGCAGCCACCCTGGTCGATTGTCCGTGTTGTTCTCCATCCACCAAGGTACTATCCGAACTCGAACTTGCGGATATTGGTGATCACAGGAGCCGCAGTGTTTAGCCGGGATGGGTCGGGGCACCTCATACTGAGGGTAAAGGAGCAACATACAAAGGAACTGTGGGCATTCCGATTGGGACATGGGCAGACTGCAGCTGGAGATGCCCATATTAAGGCGGATCGAATTTTTGCTTAAGTATGCTTCAATGCTCTCCCAAATGGCTAGAAGGCTCGAGCTTTGGAACCACATCGACATGCCGAGTGGTTGGCCAAGTCTGTGATTGGGACAGCCCTTAGCGGTTACCATGGTTAGGGAATCGGCCGGGTCTGCCCCTATCGGCCATTGGGCCGTTGGGGTTTTGGATTTCACTGGGTCCCGGCAACTTGTTACTTCGCTGATCCAGGCGCGACTGCAGAAGAGATCATGACATGCCTGGATCTGGTGCTGGACCAGGCGAGGGGAGAACTTGATACAAGGCCATATGACACTCCAGACAGGAATCGAACTCTGCAACAAACCAGGTCACCGACCAGTAACTACTCGTAGCAGCTTATTCATGGAATTCGGTCGTTCAGTCACCAAAGAGCATTCCCTTGATTCACAATGATTCACATGTCATTTGGCAGGAAAAAGCAATATACTGTATATATACTGTATATAATATCAAGTTCAGTTTGATATCCGGATGGATTGCTACTGTAGCTTTTTCAGACATGCCCTCAAGGTTTTTGTCATCAATCAGCGAAACAAATTGAACAAGAACAGAAACGACGTCGTTGCAATCAAGATCGATGAATGCAATTCAATACGCATACGGCATACATATCATATGCTGTGTATATTGAAGTTACTGAAGTGACTCGGAAGCTTTCATCACTGAGCAGTTGAGCCATGGCTTATCGGCCTCATCAACGCCGATCTTTGTTGATAGCCCTTCTGGTGCCCTTGTGGTTGTTGCGACCGGCGCTGTTCGCGATCCCACAGGACAGGAGAATGAGTCGGTACCTTCTGCAAAATTGAACGGTCAACATGCACAAGTGTGACCTTGATCTTGTTTCAGCTAGAAAAGCAAGTCAATGGCACTGTGAACTCTTAGCCCAAGTGAGTTTTCTTGATGAGGGCAATGGAACATGAAGGAACAGACAGTAGTTAGGATATGTTAAGATTCAAGACGCGGTGAATTGGAGTTGGGTTCTTTTGTTTCGGGCCTTGCTGTGCAAGAACATCAAGTGAACGGTACTTTTGGCTCAAAGGACGAAGGATAAGGTTTCGCATCCGTTGACTGCACCGCACCGCACCGCATGCGGTAGAACCTCCATCGAAATCGTAGAACCTCCATAGTAGCTCCATCGTTTGGCGATGGCTGTGGCTTCGGTGGTATGCCCTGAGCTCGGCTCCTCCGTTCAGAGCATCGTTACTTCGGCTCCGCATTGCACACCTCGGCCTATGACGACTGTTCGCAGTGTCCCAGAGATCATGACCACAAGGCCACCAACGACGCATATCTCAAGGGTTGTGACCCAACCAGTGGCTCAACCAGAGACTACAGTGACATCAGTGACTACTCAGAGCACCGATATGGTGGCACAGCTGCAAGGCCAAGTGAACTATTGGCATCAGCGCTTTCACGACGTTGAGACATGCTTCTATCAAGCGAAGATGCAGTTGTCAAGCGTTTCGGAAAGAGAGCAGTGCTTGCAAGCGAAGATCATGCAGCTGGAGACTTGTCACAATCATGCAACCGATGAACTTTGCAGCCTACGACTCCTCATAGAAGAGCGGGAAGTGAGCTTGCAAGATGCTCGTAAAGAGCTTGCTCTCAAGCAGCAGGAGCTTGAGGCTGAGAAGAGATTTCGACAGGACGAACTTCAGCGGCAAAGCCTCCGGATTGAGCAGCGAAAGGCCACAGAGGCAAAGCTCGTAGAGACTCAAAGGCTCTTAGACGGTGCCTGGAAGGACAACAAGGCCTTGCAGTGCCAGCTTCAGTCAATGGAGCACCAGCTGCAGATGAGAGGAGAGGAAGTGAATCGGCTACTTGTTGAATTGACCGAAGAGCGCAACCTCTATCATGCCACAGTGGCTGAGAATTGTGTCTTGCAACAAAAGATTAAGTCCTTGGAGGAAGTGGTGTCCGAGAAAGAGAGTTCCCTTCAGTTCCTCGAAGCGACCTGCAAACAGCTCAGCAGTGAGCTGAGCGACGAGCGCAAGTCACATCATGCAGCTGTGGCCGAGACATGTGAGCTTCGACAAAAGGTCAAAGCTCTACAAGAGGAGTCTGCAGAGCACCAAAGGTTAGCAGACTTCTGGAAGTCTGAACGAGATATGTGGTTTTGCAGGAGCAATCACTTGGAGGAATTGAACGGTCGACTACATGCGGGTTTGCATCAAATTGCGAACGATCCTCAGCTCATTCCGATGCCACCAGCGCATCCGCCAATTACACCTCGCCCTTTGATTTGCACAAGGCGCTCCATCGAGCCTGTGCACGTCGAGCATGTGCACATCGAGCCGGTGCAGCCTGTGCAGCCTGTGCAGCTGGAAATCCACACGGGCCACACGGGTGGTTATGCCTCCTCGTGACCAAGTCACACTGTTCTGTTTCACGGAGCTTGTCCTGAGGACAATCTCAAGAAGCAACTAGTCCGGAGAAAGATCTCTAGGATAACTTTAAGCTCAAGCCCCAGAATCGCTCAGTTTCAGGCTTTGGTTCGCACCCTGATTCAGCGCACTCTTTCTTTTGTTGAGTACAACGCCCAAAGCACCGTGTGTGTAAGGAGCCCAAAGTGGAGTCGCCCGTCAGCATGCAGCACTACTCTATGTTGACACGCTTCGAGAATCTTTGAGGCTTCAAGGTACACCTTTTTGATTCCTTTGAATGCAATGAGAGTAAAGCGACAGGCCATTTCCAAGATCATCACTAGAACACAAAAGTTAGAAGTGCTGGTGATGATGCTGGAAGCGCTGCGTGCAGAGGTTCTACACCATGGATATGACCCTTGGCCGGCTATTTTACATTCTTTTTCCGACAGGATTCATTACTGGAGACCCTGTCGCTGGATCGTTAATGACCCTGTCGTGTCAAACGGTGCTTTATGGAAAACATCGGAAAGCCAGCTTTTTTGACGCTGTGTGTGACCCTCAGGTGCCCGTACGCGCAAAGGACGTGGATCGTATTGGAGGAGAAAGGCATTCCCTACAGCCGCAGGGTCATTAACTTGAAGAACAAGACAGAGGTTGACTGGTACAAAGAGCATGTGAATCCTTTGGGAAAAGTTCCAGCCATTCGGGACACGGATGGTACAATTCTGTATGAATCAGAGATCATCAATGACACTTGCCAGGATTTCACCCGAATGGGCTGGCGTCAGTGCATAGCTTCTCCACTTTTGGCCCAGGATTGTAACTTGAGGTTGGCTTCTCCGCTTTCCTTCGCTACTAGAGGATTCTTGCAGGAAGCTTTTCACATTCTCAGCCACATACCTAATATACTTTGCACATGGGGATCCTGTGAGTGTCAGAAACAGGGTACTCCAATTGATGTTTGTCAGTTTCTACATAAGCTGTTTGTCTTGGCCAAAGCTTGGGCGGCCGACATTCTCTCAAAAAAAACAGGACTGTGGACATTTTACATACTGTATTATACAGTAATGGCTCCAAAGGTGCTCTTTTCGTGCACCTTTTTGTGCTGCGAACTCGTTGAGTCCGAGCTTTGGCACGAAAAACTTCTTTAGTCCAAGGAGTATTTGCAGCAAAAGTTCACCTGTGGTCCCAGCTTGATGCCCGAAGACGCTGCTGGCTGTGCCAAGGTGCGCCTTTGGAACCATCATCTCAATACAAAGCTCCCTGTCGCTGAAAAACACATTGAAAAACATCACTGTCCATTCGATCCTCCATTCCTTTGCAACGATTTGTATGTGCAGATTTGTGCCAGGTGGTTTGACAGGAATGTAATTATCATCGCATATCATCCTTTGGAAGTAGACTCTAGGTGAATAGACGCCTTATGTGCCTGGGTCATTCCCGCAATAGAGTGCTGTGATGCGCTGTGATGTGGCGTGGGTTCAAAGTTTCACCTCTCAGCTAAGTCATACTGGACACTTCTCGACAGATGCCATGCGCGAGGTAAACGGACCTGTCAAGCATTGTGCTTTTAAATCAATCCAGGCGGAAGACCTCAGACATCCTTCTTTAACATGTTCTGGGGGAAGTGTCGTTAAATTTTTTGAGACCATCGTTGTGTGCCATCTCTTTGTGGAAGGATCACTGTGCGGAAGGAAAATATATGAAAATATGACTATAGAGGAACTGCTTCCTGCTTCCCCGAACTGAGGCTAGCGCCGGCCCACTTCACATTTCTCATGAACAAGAATCAATCCGCGGATGCGGACAAGCAAAGAGCACTAGAGGAAGCCCTACAATATTATGAGGAGAGAAAGAGAGAGTTTACGCTTGACAATATTTTAAAACATGACATGTTTTTCGCTTTAACGCTTTGCGATGAGGCCGCGAAAGATCCGCAAAAGATATTTGTTTTGTTTTTGCCCGCAAAGAATGGCCATTCCAGGATGAAAGACTATTGATCAACCACCATGTATTTGACATGGTTTACATGTCGATCGTTGTCGGATTGCCAGGACAATCTCGAAGGGCCATATCTTGCTGGAGAATTTTCCTTGGCTGAAGCATCTGCCTTGCCGTTCTTCGAGCGCCTCACTTTTTCATGTCGCAGATTCAAGGACTACGAGATCCCGATGCTTCACTGCAAACAGTTTTTGCATCAAACTGTCAGGGAGATAATCTCGACAGCTTTTGTTTGCCCAGGAAAGACATGACAAGGCTACAGAAATGGTTGGACAAAGCGATGCGTCACTCTTCTTTCCAGGCTACGAAACGGCCTGAAGACAAACTTGAAGAAGTTTACAGGATGTTCCTATCTGTAGACTACAAGTTTGGAGGTCTCAATCGAAACTGAATTGGTTAGGTTAATCGGCCGTTGACGCAACAGGCGTCGACAGCATTGTACAGGCTTTAAGGAAGACCGAGACCATCCGAGACAGCCAAGGCTTCATGCTAAAAGGGCCTCAATTGGAGTGAGCCAAGGATCGGGTGACGGAGCAAATACCAACCTCGCAAGGCGAAATCAATGACGGTGTAGAAAGCCCAAATCACTCCTTGCCAATGATCAGCATTGATCAGCTATTCCACTCTTGAAGGTGGTTGCTTGTTGTGAAGAAGAGCGTCAGGCCGTGATAAGATGTGACAAGTTGATCAGGCATTTTTCCCAATCCGAAGAAGATATTATTTTACTGCTAGAAGCAAGAAGCTACTAGGTGGAGGCCATTGCTACTAGTAACAAGAAGCTTTACATGCAGTTCGATTATTGCGACGAGATTAGATGTCCAGAGGCATTTACTGTAGTTTAGGGGCTCCTAGGAGCAAGGACGCTACTAAGGGCATACTATTATTTTTGACCCTACTCATTGCATACACTCGCCACGCAGAAGCTGGAAAGCGAGGGAAAGCTAGGTGAACAGGACAGGGGTAGTGGAACTGTTTCCTGCATGGTGGATTCAAGTTTAAACTGCCTGAAACTGTCCGAATGCTGATCATCACATTGATCATCATCGCAATGATCGTCATGATTCCACTATAAAAGGTACAGATGCTGTTCATCGAGAAGGCAGGGGGCACTTGATCAAGACGCTGCATGTTTGGAAGGATGGTGACTTTATCGATGTGGCCGGCGAGCACTGCTCTTAGGAAGTGAGAGAAGCGTCGTTTTACGCCCTTTGTGGCCAAACAAAGGGACACTAGTTTGTCCAAACCAAGACGAAGCAAGTTCAGGGATGTCAAGTGACTAATAATGCATCCGTCCATTTCATCCATGTGTGCGATGTTTGATGTTCATTGTTCAATGCCGCCGAATCGCTTGCTTCACACCTAGCATCCGGGTTTGCATTGCCATCACGGAGTCGGCAGCGAAGGGTGGTGATGGCCCCAGTTGCATGCGCAGCTTATGCTTTTGAGCCTGGAGAGGAACAGACTCAGAAATTAGAAAGCAGAATCAGACTCAGACTAAGTGTGGGGAGTCTTTGGACAACCTGCACAGCACTTAGAGTCAGATTTCGGTTTCATTCCGACATCGGATTTTGAGATGTGCAAGTCTGGGGAAAGGCTACAGTGTGCCAGAGGAAGTGCTGGATGGTACTTGTATCTCTGAAAAGCGATGACGCAGTTGGTAGGAACGGATAAAAGGTGGAGCCCGCGACAGGGCGCGTGACGCTGTATGAATGAATGCGTCAGCTAGTCACGCCTCACGATAGCTCGCTCTGCTCACATGTAGCGTAGTAAGACTGAGAGAGTTTTCAAGATATGCCGCGCCGTCACGACTTAGTTACTTTTCCAAGTTTTGCCCAACAAAGGGTGGCAACCATAATGCCTTAAGCCCGTTTGGACCATGCCCCTGGCATTGGCTTGTGTCTAAGGCTACAATAGCATAGCAACCACTAGCAACGGTCAAAACAACTGCTTTTGTCAGGTTGCGATGGCCCCGATGGTATTACACGGATGCAGGAGGCAAGACTGATGGGGCTCATTAGGGCTCGCCACGCCTCCTGGCCCAAGCGGCCATTTGTAGCGTGATTGGCTCACCCAAGAGGGTCCGATTCACCCAATTTCTCGCGGTACTGCCACATCGTTGCTATTTCCACACATGGCTATTTCTTCCAGATGTTCGTCGTTTGAGATTCGGAGTACCGACCAGCTTCGCGTGAAGCTGCTGGCCAAATGAAGCGCACTTGATCCTTTCCACGGCGTGTCTGCTGTTTTGAGGGGCGAATGTAACTCCGTAGCGTTTAGATCCGTCTTCCCCTGCACAGATGGCATTCTTTTCTTTTTCTCGGGACCTCATGGCGTCCTGATGGATCATCCGGAAGGTCGTTGGTGTGCGCCTTTATTTGGAAGAGTCTGTGCACGATGAGCACCAGGCTAGCTGGATCCTTCTCATTGCATCACATGCCGCATGCCTTTTCACTAGAAGCTCGCCATCCTGGTATACTCTTGCCATGCATGCGACATGGAAATACCATGCTGAAGATACCATATCATGCTCAAGAATAGCTGAATAGCTCCTAGTCTTCAGCCACTCAACAGATGTGTCTGCTCTTTACAGTGCTCTTGTTGCCGCAGCTTGTGGTGATGGCTGGCACCCGTGAACAGCTTCAAGAGGCTACAAGCTTAGTTCCCGAGGCAACCGTCTCAATGCTTAGTTACAGTTCTGTTCGGAACGGTCGACTCGAGATGGACGATGGATTCTCCGGTGACCAGTGCATGGTATTTGGTTCAATGTTCTAATGTTCAAAGAGTGTATGATGTGGTCGATATTGGTCGATGGTATTTGGTGGATTCATTTCCAGAGATGCATTGCATGTGACGCAAGGGCCTGCAGTACTTCAACAACTTGGTGCAGGCTGGAGCAAGATAATTCTGCATGAGCTTAGCATGCCACTGTTGGGTATGCTAAGGCACAAGTTCAAGAGTCTTGGTTTGCTGCTTGGGCTGACAAGACGTCCTTCTGGGAGCCAGGCACGGATGAGTCTTTGAACAAGTTGATACTACGTTGATACCATTGATTCATACACGACGCGGTGACCATTTAGAATCGATGGCTAAGATATGCCAAGATCTTTCAAATTTGGATTCTTGGTTTCTGGAAATTGTATGTAGCAATATGCAACACATGTACTGTATTATGTTTGCATCTTAGATTCTTAGATTCCATCAATCAGTAGATGACACTTGCACACCCCCTGTATCGCTGCCTGCTCAAAGAGACCTGGTGGATGGTCCGGTGATGTCTGGTGATCTTCATAAGATTTGTGTTTTGATCAAGACACCCCACATTCAAAACCTGCAGGCCGTGGAGGCTCGTGGTCAAATGAGGCGCTTTCGACCGGCGGGAAGCCACCCCCTGACCCTGCAAACTCCAAGCACCGGAACATCCTCTTTATTGGCGGCTTGTCGCAGCAGGGGCCACAGATCGCAGCAGGGGCTTGGCGTGATGGATTGTGCAGTGTATGCGGTTTACCCACAATGCTGTGTTTGAGATCATACGAGTAGCTTGTAGACAGACAGGGTGTTGTGTTGTGAAGAAATGCAGAGGCAGACGGACATTGAGAGCCTCGCCAACTACTTCGCACAGCCCGCATACACAGACGGTTTTGCTGTGTTTTTCTCTTTATTTATTCGTGCGCACTGGTGCCTTTTCTGAATCACTGGCATGGCTAGCATTGCGGCTCAGACCACAGTCAACTTGCTAAAACATCCAGGCGGTCAGAACATCTCAAGCAGAACTGGACTGGACGAATGTAATGCACTCAGAGATGCTGGGGCTCAGAGATCTACCCTTAGCCTTAGATCTATTCCTTCACTTCTTTACCCTTCTGATATCTTAACTTCGCCTTCTTTTGCAACTCCTCAGGCTCAGGCTGATTGGGCCATTTTGAGTCACCATGAGCTTCAGGGTTTCAGTGGCGTTGCTCAGTGGGGAGATGGTGACGCTTCCGGTGGAAGCAGAGACCCTGGTGGGAGAGCTACGGCAGATGGCACAGCAGAAGATGGGTCGGACTTTGGTCGCGCTGGTATCACAGGCCGGCGAGCGCTTGGATGTCTTTCCCACGCTCTTCCGCACCTTATCAAGTCTGGATCTGCAAGATGGAGCTGTGATCAATGCCCTTACCAAAGCGGGTCCCATCTTGCAGTCCCATCGGAAGGCCAGCACGTTTGCTGCAATTCGATCCGACGGCACAGTCGTGACTTGGGGGCACAAGTTTCATGGAGGTGACAGCCGATGCGTTCGCGATCAACTTGTGAACGTGCAGAAAGTCTATGCCACGCACAAGGCGTTGGCTGCCGTGAAAACTGATGGAAGTGTTGTCACCTGGGGGCATGCAGACCATGGAGGTGACAGTGCAGCTGTCCGGGACCAACTGTTTGAAGTTCAAGAAATATTTGCATCTATGCAAGCTTTTGCTGCACTCAGATATGATGGCTCGGTGGTAACCTGGGGTCTTGCATCGCATGGTGGTAGCAGCAAAGCAGTTGCAAAGCAGCTTCGAAACGTTGTGGAAATTTATTCGACAGAAGCTGCATTTGCTGCAATTCTTGAAGATCGTTCTGTGGTGACCTGGGGCCACCCAGAGCAGGGTGGAGATAGCACTGCAGTGAGCGAAGAGCTTTTCAACGTGAGAAGTATAGCTGCGTCTGGAAAAGCCTTTGCAGCTGTGAGGGAGGATGGAGCAGTGCTGAGCTGGGGACATCCAGAGTATGGTGGTGACTGCTCCGCGGTGAAAGAGCATTTGCAGCACGTCAAGTCCATCCATAGCTCCAGTGGTGCATTTGCTGCTATTCTAATGGATGGAAGTGTGCAAACGTGGGGGCATGCTCTCAGTGGAGGTGACTGCCGCTCCGTTCAGGCACAACTTGTAGATGTGCAGAAGATCTATGTGTCCAACAAGGCTTTTGCAGCCGTATCGACAGACGGCTCAGTGGCACCATAGAATGAAGCCGAAGCTTTGTGTGTTTGGAGTTGGTGGAAGGGTGCTGTACCAGGTAGGTCCAGGTAGGTAGCAACCGCCAGAAACATGTGAATGTTTAGTTTTAAGATGTCCAGATCACTGCAGTGATCACCATTGGTCACCTCAGGTAACATGGGGGGCATCCCCTCTATGGTGGAGACAGCCGTTCAGCACAAAAGCAGCTTGTGAGAGTACAACATGTTCATGCCGCAGAGACTGCGTTCGCTGCCATCAGGGATGATGGTTCGGTTGTGACTTGGGGCCATCCTGAGTACGGCGGAGTAAGTGCTGCGGTGCAAGATCATCTTAGCGACCTGGCTTCATAATGAGAGCCAGGGCACTCTGGACACTCAACAGAGCTCTATATTTTGTGCCCCCCAAATGCAAAGGCAAGTTCATACCACTTTACATTACAGGGTAGTCTTGGATAGTTGATACTCGCAGCACGTTTTTGTCATTTTATTGAGCAGTTGTGACCAAGGAAATGTGCAGCAAATTCATGCGTCCTTGGGCGCTTTTGTGGCAGTGACGGCTGATGGTGCTATTGCTGCTTGGGGACATCCAGCCTATGGAGGGGACAGTACCGTAGTGCCCCAGCGGAAGTGACATAGACCGACTGTGAATCGGTGATCATGGATGTTTTTTTTGGCCGCAATGTGAGTATGGTGACAATATGTAACAATTGTTAACTTACAATGTGGTTGATCAACAATGTTGATCCTCATTACAAGATGATTATTTCAAGAACAGTCCAAGAAGAATTAGCCCTTCTTCTGGTCCTTCTTGTTCCTTGATTGTCAAACAACCTGCCGCAACGCAGCAGCGACAACCTAGCGGATGTGTCACATTGCCCAGGTCCGTGATCAGCTCTTCAATGTTTTGGAGGTCCATGCTTCCAGCGGAGCGTTTGCAGCTGTGAGGGCCGATGGTGTGGTCGTGACATGGGGACATCCGTTGAGTGGCGGTGATAGCCGCTCCGTTCGAAAGCTTTTGGCGGAGGCCTGAGGAGGCAGCACAGATTTGTATCAACACATATCAAAATATCTAAGATAGGACTTCTTGTGAGGAGCTCCAGAGATTGAAGCTACATGAGGTGTGTGTTGATGGAATTTTCCGGGCGCCAGCCTGGCGCCAGCTGCCTGTTTGTTCGGATCGACTATCCTTTGCCAAGAGTTGATCGAAGAATCCATTTGGTCCATTTTGGTCCCAAGTTTCAACCCAGGGCTCACGTGGGCTCAGATGCGCCCAGAATGGGCCGAATGGGCCATATAGATCGCAGATGTGCACCTAAATTGGGTGCCACTCTTAACAGGTCCAAAGTATGTGACCAGACACTGCGTAGCAAAAGCGCATAGACGGGATATGCAATCAACGTATGAAATCGAATAAACTTGAGTTTCCGGCCACACAAGGTACGGCGAGATTCTGGAAACTGATGTCAAGAGGGACTGCCAAAAGCGAAGCTATGCCATACATGGTGTGTGCTTGATCGGCCAACACAAGCTATAGACTGGCTGCCTTGTTGCGACTCAATGACTCAAGGATCCAATCGTGCGATCGCTCTCCGTGCAGGATCAACAATCGGGCCGCTCCAAGGGCTTTGGCTTTGTGACTTTCGCTTCAGAGTGCCACGACTCAGCTTGTGTCATGAACCGTGTCACGTTGCTTGGTTTCGCAACGAACGCTGGCTTCACAACCCGAAACGCACTGCAGGGAGCCTGCAGAAGCTTGCATTGCTGATATGAAGGTGGTGGGCATGATGTAGCAACGACATTGAGCCTGATGATGAGTTATATACTACATATGCTGCATATGCTGTGCATCACTTGCCGTGTGCTAGCTGTACTCTCAAATTGAGCACCATGGAGGGCTTCTACGTGGTGGGGTTCATTCATGCTTTTGTTTGATAGTAACGCGCTACGCCCAATTCACAATACTCAACAAATTAGCTTTGGACTTTGTGTTGTGCTTTAGAGCGGTGTCGGCAAGGCCCATGTCATTGACGGCAAGACGGTGGATGTGAAGCGATATGGCTTTAGCACTCCTCCAGGCTTGTGAGTGGTAAACACATGCCTTTGCAGATGCCTCATTCTGAATGCAGCAGCTATTGTGGGCAAACCATGTTAACGGACTACAATGATTCATGGTTCAGCGGTGGGTATGCATTTTGTGGCTATGTTGTTGTTCCACTGCTGTGTTCGGCTTCGCCAGGGCGGAGCCGTGACGGGCCACCACAAGGTCAAAGACCGGCACCGGCACCGCGCGAGATCATCCGGCCCACGAGCTTCTCGGAGTCCTTCCGAGACCTGCCCAGCCACGGCCCTGGAGCTTCGGCGAGCAGACGGACGACATGTTTGGGGGGGTTAAGATGGTGAAGTCATGTGCAGACCAAGGCCGGGGCAACACCTCAGGATGGTCAGGTCATTCAGGTCATTCGAACTTTTTCCGCTTGGAGTCCTTCGAAGCCGATTTCGTCTGTGGTGTCCCGTGAGTTGCTAGGACCTGCCACGCATGACCACTATGAACCAGCACCCGTTCGCAACTATTCGGTGGCGGATGATGTTAGATGGCCAGGAACTGAGGAGCTGTCACCCCCGCATACTTGAAGGAGAATCATGTCTTGGCTGTGGGCTGTGGGATGCTGTAGAGTCCACTTCAACACCCCCTCCCTCAGAGCACTGGTTGACCAGACCTATTGGATGAAGATATTGGAACAACATTGAACAACATGGACTGCAAAACATGTAAACCTAACCACGCCTCACCATCTGCTTTTGTGTGGTTCGTTTTGGACCACACTCCCGGGGCTGCGCCTTTTTGGATATTACTGTTTTTGATGATGGAAAGAAGGTAAAGAGGGAACTCCTTAAGTTGCTGCGCAGGCTGTTGACCTGACAGTGGGTTGGCGTAGGCTTGCGTAGGCTGTAGGGAGAAGCACCTGCAGAAGCTGTTTTATGTAAGAAGTTTCGTTTGAGCAGAAACAGAAACAAGTCTGCCGTAGGCGCACAGGCTTGTGCGTTGCGTAGGATCCTTTGTAGTGTACAAGCTCCAGGCACAAAAAAACAACTCTCATTCTGGACCGTGAAGACACAGCGCTTCAGTGGGTGCACCACTGTGAGGTTTGGTGGTCTTGCTGAAACAGCGATTGGCCAAGCTTCTGTCGAAGAAATGTACCAATTTAGAATTATTTAGATTTGGTCAGTGTCACCCGGTCTTCCCAACTTCTCCACATACGGCATGGCTGAGGTGCCTCCGCAGTATCTTGACCAGGACTACTGCATTACGCGACTTGGATCTGAACCTGAACACTCTTGAACAACCAAGGAGCCTCTTATAGAGGGAAATCGGAATCATGATTGATTTGGCATTACCAGCTACGTTGGCATTGGCCTGTTGACCCCCTGAATCTTCACATGCATCATAGTTTCGATTTTGAGACTCGAAATCGGCACCTGGTTGGGTCCGGCTCCTTCCCAGGGCTTTGTTTGGTCCCAGGTGCAGCCTTCCCAATGCACAGTGTGGAGCTCTCATTGGGCGAGGGGGGGAGAATATCAACGAGGCAGCGCGATGTGGTCATGCAATGAGAGATTGCAGATTTTGCACATTATTGTATTGACATTGCAGAGCCAATGTGCAAGAGGCGATTAGAAAATGGACAGACCATGAGCAGGAATGCCCACAAAATGCGAGGATACACTGCCATACAATATACAGCTGCAAATTTGTGTTATTTTTCTGCACAAAAGCATGGATGCACCCATTTCATTCAAGATCTGCTTCCTCGACCGACAGGTTGAGAGAAAGACTGGGACGAGAGTTCAGCTGACCAAGAAAGAGGAGGACAGAACTCTTCACTGTAACAGGTTCCATCAAACTCAGGGCAGTTGGAGTACTGCTTGCAAGAGTATAACCTGGAAGAGTCCTTGTTACTGGCAGCTTCTAGCTAGTAATGCCCTGTTCCTAGTAGCGATGCCCTTGTTACCTTCTATAATGAAATCCCAAATCTTTTGCAGAACTCGGACCACCGGACCCTGTCCATCATCGGTCCTTTGATTTCTGTCATGGGCACAGCCTGATCGCTTTGGATTCATCTTGGCAATTCCGTTGGATGCCTTGATCTCAGGTCTATGCGGCTCATCTTTTGGTGATGCGAAACTTCAATGAGGCTTTGCATCGACCAGATCCGAAAGAACGTCAAGTGGAGGAGCCGACAACTTCACTTTGCGCAATGTTTTGCATCAACCAGACACACTGAAGACTGAAGTCTACAAAGCTGAAAACTGCTTGATTTTAACATTGGAGGAGTTGCAAAAGCAAATCGCGGTGTTGACACAACAAGTGGATTCTGTGAGTGATTTGGTTGCATTAACTATGTAGAAAAGGTATTGAATTGTCAAAACAATCTCCAAGGAAGCGGGCGACGTAGATAATTACATTATATGTAAACCAATTTCTAAAAAAGAGCATAAGTTTACTTATTAATTATCAATATTTTTACAAATCAACAGTAACAACAATGCTTGAATTTATGATAGACACATTATATATATATACCAATATTACAAACATATATTATTGTATATATATATATTGTAGTTGTGTAGAGCTTTGGGTAGGCTTGGGTGCACACACATCATTACAACTCCCATGTCACATTTTGGCTCAAGAGCCAAAACTGGACAGGGGTTTCTGTCTGAATTGATTCAAGCGAGGTGTGGGATTATACCGTAATTTTTGAGTGTGAAGGACGTACTTGATATGACTATTCCCCCGGGGCTTGATGTCGCTGTGAACAGCAGCTTATTTCACTTGCGGCCTTCGCTGAGTTCCGCCAAGCTGTCCAGGACCGACTGGGTCGGGGAAGCATTTCTGCTTTGAAATCGCAGAGCGCAATCACTTTCGAGCACTACACTGTAGCCCTTGCGGCACCCTGGGGCTTTCCATCAGTATCATCAGTTCGCCAACATTCATGCACCAAATCCCGATGCCCTCGATGTGAAGGGTTGCGAGGTGGCTTCATGTTTCCATGGGTCGGAACGTGGACTCGCTGAGGGACGAAGCTCTGCGGCCCAAGCTTGGGAGCGGCATCGCGCCATTCTTGGTATATTGGATCGTCCGTCTATTGGAGCTGCAAAACTGTAATTCTTGCCCTCTTCGGCCACCGTGGACGCTTCACCCCGGACTACCTTTGGGCATGCATTCCTCATTCGGTTGCCAAAACAGAAGTCTTTGCCCACCTTCGTACGCGGGGGCTTATGTATTGAGGGCTTTGGAGGGATCTAGGCTCTGTCATTTTTCCGGCAAGTGACGCCGTAGCACAAGTCTTTCCTGCTGAAGTTCGGGCCCGCTGCGCAGTCCGTGGATGGCTTGGCGCTCAAGAGTATGAGGCCCAGGGGGATTGGTCGCTTGCGCCTGTTGCTGTCCACGCTGCCACCCGCTTCCTTCTGATAGTGTGAGTAAGCGTTCCTGCGCAGCCCAAGCCATGGCCTATCGTGAACAGGTCCAATTCTTGGAATCGGCAGGGATGCTGCTCCCTCTTCCTCGTTTTGGCAGGCGGTGGATTCCCTACGCCGGGGCCGAGGTGAGCTACCACATGGCGGGAGAGCCATGGAATGGATGATGCGGACTTTTGCCTACTGGCTTGCGGTCAGATCACAACAGCAATGGCATCGCGCCCCACGCCCTTCAACGAGGCCGCCGCTCCAGGAGGCACCTGTCCATGCGCCCCTCGAAAGAAGCTCGCAAGGAACGATTCAGCGACAGGTACGGGAGCTTCAGCAGTCCGTCTATCTACAACCAGCTGGCAGCCATGCAACGAGACTGGAAAGCTTCAGTCCTGCGTCTTAACAGAAAGTGCCAAGTGCTGAGTGCATCGCAGTCCAGCATGCCATCAAAACTTTTTCTGAATTCTTGGAGAATATGGCCCACCGGCAGCGCAAGTTCCCACCTTCGTTTGTCGACGTCGGCGCGTTGCGAGCTTGGCGCGAACGAGGGCATTGATGACTTTCCCAGCAATAGAAATTCGTCTCCCATTGTTATTGTTGGAAAATTTCATCTGCAGTCGTTCCGTCCCTCGGGAACTCCCCGATGCGCCTCAAGTTTCCATCTGGCTGCAGTCCTGCGCAGGAAGCGCAGATTCAAATGATCGTCTAGTGTCCGGATGAGTGAGAGAAGAGAAGAGAAGAGAAGAGAAGAGAAGAGAAGAGAAGAGAAGAGAAGAGAAGAGAAGAGAAGAGAAGAGAAGAGAAGAGAAGAGAAGAGAAGAGAAGAGAAGAGAAGAGAAGCGAAGCGAAGCGAAGCGAAGCGAAGCGAAGGGAAGGGAAGGGAAGGGAAGGGAAGAGAAGAGAAGAGAAGAGAAGAGAAGAGCGGAGGGGAGGGGAGGGGAGGGGAGGGGAGGGGAGGGCAGGGCAGGGCAGGGCAGGGCAGGGAAGGGAAGGGAAGGGCAGGGAAGGGAAGGGAAGAGAAGGGAAGAGAAGAGAAGGGAAGAGAAGGGAAGAGAAGGGAAGAGAAGAGAAGAGAAGAGAGGAGGGGAGGGGAGGGGAGGGGAGAGGAGGGGAGGGGAGAGGAGAGGAGAGGAGAGGAGAGGAGAGCAGAAGAGAGAAGAAGAGAGAAGAAGAGAGAAGAAGAGAGAAGAAGAGAGAAGAAGAGAGAAGAAGAGAGAAGAAGAGAGAAGAAGAGAGA